TTTTCATGCATTGCCTGATACTAATGTTTTAGGGCCCCCATTTGTACTAATGTTTTAGAGTCTCCATTTCTAGAGAATACAACTCTTAATATTTGCTTTATTGTAGTCGTTTACTATCTTTAACAACTTAAGACAATCCAGAAAAGGAGTCTACTAAAATTAGTAATAGACCAAAGCCATATGAACATGAGACCATTGTCCCATTTCTTTAAGCTTTGTCAAACATTCTTTATTTCTGCATATGTGGTGGTAAAGCAATGACTCAACTGATAGTAGCAGATCAGAAAAACCACGAGGAGGGCAACCGACAAAACAGTATCACATGTCCAACCTTGTCACGAGCAAAAAAAAACAGTAATCAGAAACAAAAACATGCCTGCTTTATACAGCCAAGGACCGACCACGATTTGCATGCGAATGATGAGACAACGAGATTTCGCGTTAACTGTCCGAGACTGCCTGGCATAAAACATGGGCACAGATTTGCGGTAGGCCATTTTCACAATTTTCTCTACAGCATATTTGGAGCATTTATGTACATATCTTTCTATATTGGGATAAAAGTCCAATTAATGTTACCAATTTTAATCTCCTCTGTGTAGCCATTTTCCCACAATGCACATGATCATGTATACTTTTTATAACTTGGAGTAAATCATCCAGGGATACTGCCATAGCAGTAACTTTCATCATGACATTGAGAGGCCCCACTGGAGAATACTGCATGATCCAAAAAGCATTCACAAAATGGCAGTACAATAGCCCAGATATTATACACCTGATGATAGGATAGCCTCTTTTGGTGTTCCTCAAAATTTGGGATCTCAGACTATCAGGCGAGTGCACAGTACAAAAGGGACAATCAATCAAAGAAAGGAAATACATGTGTCATGAGTGTCTGAGTGGACAAATCATATCTTTCCAGAAGTCAAGGCAACAAAATTTCTACTTGGGTCAGTAATGGGCAAGTTATCTATTCAAGATAAAAAATATTCAGGCCTGCAAAGGAGAAGAATCATAGATTTTAAGGAGGGTTATGGGCAATGGGTGTGAAGCAGCTATAAAATTTTTTTTTTAATAATTTCAACCCAAACAAGGCAGGAATGCTACTAGTATACAGGGGGTTACAGAGAGTGAAGGTGAGAGAAAAGACTGGGTATTGGGGAGACTGAGGAAAGGATAAAAGCTGACTAGGGTTCAAGTAGATATAAGATGGCAATTGACATTACATTTAAATTTTTGAAGATTGTAATTATCAAGGAAGCAAGGAACAGAAAGGAGTTCCGCAGGTTGGAAGTTTGAGAAAAGAAACTGTTGGCATAAAAGTAGTGGTTACATTTACCTAATTCAATTGTAAAAGGGTGGGATCTGGATGCCAAACTAGTAGCTCACTTAAACTCATGTAGTCCGAGCACCAGGGGAAAAAAACTCATCAGAGCAGTAGCCATGAAAATATTTGTAGAAAAGACAGAGGGAAGCTATGTCACATTGGGGAGAAAGTGACTGAAGTTGAGATGGCAAGTCAGGATCAATTACATTACAGATCCTTCTTTGAATTTTGTCAAGAACCTCAAAGTATACAGTAGGAGCACTAGACCAGATATGGCAACAGTATTCAATACATGGGCGAATGGTAGATTTGTAAATGTCCAAGATAGATTCTAACAAGAAAAAACCTCTGGCATGACACAGTGACCCAACTTTCCTTGTAATAGATGCAGCTATTGATTCAATGTAGTTGTTCCACTTCAAGTCAGTTGAAAACGTCAGGCCAAGAAGGTGCAATGTTTTGCTCTCCATGAGTCTAGCATCAGCCATGCTGAGGATATGCAGGAAAGATTCTCTATGATGGTTAAATGAGATCAGTTTCCTTTTGGAAGCATTATAATTTATGAGCCATTTCCTTCCCCAGTTAATGAAGGATTGGAGGTCCTTTTCAAGAGCAGTGGCTAGGTTAAATTTGTCGGCTCCGGTGGACTTGCTATCGAGACAGGAGTAAATGGTAGTATCATCAGCATAATTGTCCCCTTGGGAATTGAAGACATCAGGAAGATCATTGATGAAGATCAGAAACAGCATAGGACACAAGATAGAGCCTTGTGGGCACCTTTGTTTGTGTGAAAAAATCTGGAAGCATACCCATTCAAAACAACCATTATTTCATGTATATACGACTTTGTCGTTACTTTGAAATTTTCCATGCATCAAGGGTGGACTATCGTTGTTGTTTTGTCTGTGTGTTGTTCAATTTATTGAAATTGTCATCTTTGATAATGGCTTATGTATGCCAAAAGTTTAGACTGGATTTAAACATGTATCAATATGGTGTTTTCTTTTCATCTTTCAATGATAATGCGATTAAGCTTATCAGACAATATGAGAGGAACTTACTTAAAATAAATAGACAAAACTTGTCTATATTATTTAATGAAACATGCATTAATGAAAAATTGCTGCCTAAATATACACAATATATATATATATATATATATATATATATATATATATACATATGTACACACACTCACACACACACATACAACTACGGTGACAAATATTAAGAGCAAATTTAAAACAAAGCAAGAGAGAAATAAATAGTAGGGATTAAGATAAAAGAATGTATTAAGGTGAAAAAAACAAACAGAAATCAAAAAAAGTGATTCAAATTACCAACATACATTAAGACAGGTTAAGTTTTCTGGTGGATTGATTGAGCAAATATTAAAACAAGAATGATTTTGGTGATGCTAGCTTTATGAAGGAGGGACAAAAGTTAAATCTCTCCGGCCAATTGAAGATGGGGTGGGGTTCATGTCAAGATTGCCATAATGCCAAATATCCACTCTATGATTTTATGATTTATGTCTATTTTAAAATCATCACTTATTCTTAAGCCTCTATCTGATTTTCACAAAACATTTGCTGCAACCTGGAGGAACATGCTTCAATATTCCCTCCTCTACTATTTTCTCTAACTTGGCAACTACTAAAGGTAGAAGGTGAATTGGTAATTTACAGGATTCAAAATAGGAGGGGGTACTATTGTCATTTAATTGTATGTTCAATATATACAAACTCTCTCTTTTACTTTTTCAGACTTTACATTACTGATTAATTTCAATATATCCATCTTTAGAAAATTTATACCTACCAGTCCATGAATTACTTTACATTCCACTATTGTAATGAGAATAATTTCAAATTGGTCATAGGTTTCAAAAGTTCCACTGAAGTAGCCCAAAGTTTTTTATAAAAGATTGATTGAATTGTTTCAATTTCAGATGAGTTTTTCTCAATCTTGGTTTACCGATTTGCTTCCAGAAATTTCTTGGATTTAGCGTGATCTTGCATTGGAAAAGTCATACCATTTAATTTAATTTTTTCAAATGAATTCTTTTCCTTAAGTCTTTGTATTGAAAAGACATTATCAGTTCTTTCTTTTTTCAAGTTTTTCTATTCTGCTTATTTTCTTTTTAACTTTGCAAACAGACTGAAAATTATTTTTTCTTCTGAACTTATGCCCAAATTTTTGTAAATGTGGGGTACTTTTTTCTGTCAATTTCATTCTCATAGAGTATTTGCATTTCTTGCATTCTTTTTTATGTTGTACATTTCAACATTGTCCTCAGTAGAATTATATTTTTCATTACTGTCAACTGTTGTATAATTTCTTCACATGCAGTTAGAGATAAATTATTTAATTGTAAATGTACCAATACCTTATATTTATGAAATCTATCAGACATACCTTAAATCAACTATAACTGAATCAATTCATTCGCTCTAATTTTGAGTTCACAGTTTCTCAAATTTGCAGTATCTGCTAACTTCTCTTAATCTGTGAAGATATTGTATAATTGATTCATCTTGTTTCTGTTTAACAGACATAAATTTTGTTCTTTCCACTATGACAAGTTTCATTTTATGTCATAAATTTCAACAAAAGTCAAATTCTCTAATTGTTTGGGGTATGCTGTAATATAAATTTTTATTATAGCTTCACAACCAGCTGAAGCTAAGAAGAGGTTGTGTATTTCATTTTTTCCCCATCTTGCCTTAATGTCTTTCAATTTTTCAGCCCTAGCCTGAGCTGCAAAATATTGGATCCAAGTCTCAACAAATTCTGGTTTGTCCAAGTGATTTAAACATTGTATCAGAAATGCAACAATTGGGGTATTTTTTTTCTCTGTCATGAGCATTCCATCTTTTTTTATACATCCTATTCAGGTGCATGTCTTTCGATTTCTGCACACTCTTCCTTGAGTCACTTTTTGATTGCTTGCTTGCTTGCATTGGTTTTTAATGTTTTTGTTTAAAAAATTTTACATTCTCCACCATTTCACAGTATTATTTGCTATCTCTTTTTCTTCATCTTGGGAATTTCATTTTCCATCTACTTTTTCTTCTTATCTGTTTCCTTAAGTGTATGCAAAAGTTTCCAGCATTTTTATCAAGATATCTTTTTCTCCTGAATGCCAAATTTTCAACAATGTAAATGCTGGGAACCTTCTATACTCACAATAATTTATATAATTATTTGAATATAATCTATTTTTGTTATTATAATTTTTAGAATTTATCATTTTCTGATATATTTTCCTATTTTTTGTCTCCTTTCTTTCTCTTTGTTTTTCTTTTGGCATTAATTTTCTCCTACCTTCCCTTTTTTTCTTTCCAAGTAGACATGTACTTTCTTTTTCTATTAAAGAAAGAAAGAAAAAAGGAACAGGTTCGAAGTAAGAAAAAGAAAAGCGAAGAAAGGTAATAAAAAGAAATGAGTTGAAAGAAAAGTAAAAGCAAAAATGAAAGAAGAGGAAGAGAAAGAAATGAGAAGATGAGAAATAAATAAAAAAAAAAGAAAGAAAAAGGGTGAAAATCTATGAAAAGAAGAATGAGTTAAAAGAAACTGTAAGAGCTCCCTTTCCCCATCAGTCACCATCCTGATCAACCAATATCACTCTTTAGCATACTTTTACATTCCACCTTCAAAATCAAATGACATGATTTCTTTCCTCTCCCACCATTTGCTTCTTTCTCTTCAGGAGATGTACATTTCACATCAAGCAGAATTAATCACAACCTATTATTGGATCCTAACCCAGTCTAAAATCTCACAGAGTTTAACACGAAACCAACCATTTTGTATTAACTAGTCACAAGCATGCACAACCAGTCAAGTTTGGTACACAGATGACCCTTGGCCACTTCTATAAACACACAAACACTAACCATGATACTTTTTCTACTTTTTTATATTTATAACTGAATGCAGTTCATAATGCGTGTTCTTTTTCATCACCAGATTTCAATGATTTCAACCCAGACTTACTGTTTTTCATCAAGTGAAGACTTAATTCCTTTCCTCTCATTCTTCATCTTACATCATTCAGTCGGTCTTTTTCAATTTGTTTTCTTCTTCCATTTATGTGTTTAGGATTTGATTTATTTTTCAACCCTAACATGTAGAAAATATTTCTTTTCCTTCATACATTCATTCTTTATGGTTTTGTCCTCAGATTCTAAATCATTTTCATGTTTATTATTTCCATAATTACGGAAATAATAAACATGAAAAAGCTTTTACTCTTTTTGAATACTTAGCTTTTTTATCGTGAAATTCTTTTTAAATTTTCTTTTTGAATACTTAGCTTTTTTATCGTGAAATTCTTTTTAAATTTTCTTTTTTTTTTTCATCTTTTGTCGTCATATACAGAATCATTGTTCTTCTCTCTTTTTCCTCATTCCTAATTTCCACATTTTTCTTTTCTTTTCATATACATCATCAGCCATCTTCTCTCTTTCACTCTTCTTTCTCATTCCTTATTTGCCACATTTTTTTGTTTTTCTTTTCTTTTCATATACATCATCAGTCTTCTTCTCTCTATCTCTCTCCATTCTCATTCCTTATTTGCCACTTTTTCTCTTTTTCTTTTCTTTTCATATACATCATCAGTCTTCTTCTCTCTTTTCTCTCCATTCTCATTTCCTTATTTGCCACTTTTCTCTTTTTCTTTTCTTTTCATATACATCATCAGTCTTCTTCTCTCTTTCTCTCTCCATTCTCATTCCTTATTTGCCACTTTTTCTCTTTTTTTCTTTTCATATACATCATCAGTCTTCTTCTCTCTTTCTCTCCATTCTCATTCCATTTCTTTTCTCTTTTTCTTTTCTTTTCTCTCTCATCTCTCTCCATTCTCCATTCTCATTCCTTATTTTGCCACTTTTTCTCTTTTTCTTTTCTTTTCATATACATCATCAGTCTTCTTCTCTCTTTCTCTCTCCATTCTCATTCCTTATTTGCCACTTTTTCTCTTTTTCTTTTCTTTTCATATACATCATCAGTCTTCTTCTTTCTTTCTCTCTCCATTCTCATTCCTTATTTGCCACTTTTTCTCTTTTTCTTTTCTTTTCATATACATCATCAGTCTTCTTCTCTCTTTCTCTCTCCATTCTCATTCCTTATTTGCCACTTTTTCTCTTTTTTCTTTTTCTTTTCATATACATCATCAGTCTTCTTCTCTCTTTCTCTCCATTCTCTTTTCCTTATTTGCCACTTTTTTCTCTTTTTCTTTTTCTTTTCTTTTCATATACATCATCAGTCTTCTTTCTCTATCTCTCTCCATTCTCATTCCTTATTTGCCACTTTTTCTCTCTTTTTCTTTTCTTTTCATATACATCATCAGTCTTCTTCTCTCTTTCTCTCTCCACTTTTTCTCATTCCTTATTTGTCTTCCACTCTTTTTCTCTTTTTTCTTTTCTTTTTTTCATATACATCATCAGTCTTCTTCTCTCTTTCTCTCTCCATTCTCATTCCTTATTTGCTTTTCTTTTTTCTTTTCTTTTTTCATCAGTCTTCTTCTCTCTTTCTCTCTCCATTCTCATTCCTTATTTGCCACTTTTTCTCTTTTTCTTTTCTTTTCATATACATCATCAGTCTTCTTCTCTCTATCTCTCTCCATTCTCATTCCTTATTTGCCACTTTTTCTCTTTTTCTTTTCTTTTCATATACATCATCAGTCTTCTTCTCTCTTTCTCTCTTCATTCTCATTCCTTATTTGCCACTTTTTCTCTTTTTTTTTTTTTTTTCATATACATCATCAGTCTTCTTCTCTCTTTCTCTCCATTCTCATTCCTTATTTGCCACTTTTCTCTTTTTCTTTTCTTTTTCATATACATCATCAGTCTTCTTCTCTCTTTCTCTCTCCATTCTCATTCCTTATTTGCCACTTTTTCTCTTTTTCTTTTCTTTTCATATACATCATCAGTCTTCTTCTCTCTCTTTCTCTCTCCATTCTCATTCCTTATTTGCCACTTTTTTCTCTTTTTTCTTTTTCTTTTCATATACATCATCAGTCTTCTTCTCTCTTTTCTCTCTCCATTCTCACTTTTCTCTTTCCTTATTTTGCCACTTTTTTTTCTTTTTTCTTTTCTTTCCTTATACATCATCAGTCTTCTTCTCTCTTTCTCTCTCCATTCTCATTCCTTCTTTGCCACTTTTTCTCTTTTTCTTTTTCTTTTCATATACATCATCAGTCTTCTTCTCTCTTTTTTTCTCTCCATTCTCATTCCTTATTTGCCTCTTTTTCTTTTTTTTTTTTTTTTTCTTTTATACATCATCAGTCTTCTTCTCTCTTTTTCTCTCTCCATTCTCATTCCTTATTTGCCACTTTTTTTCTCTTTTTCTTTTCTTTTTTATACATCATCAGTCTTCTTCTCTCTTTCTCTCTCCATTCTCATTCCTTATTTGCCACTTTTTTCTCTTTTTCTTTTCTTTTCATATACATCATCAGTCTTCTTCTCTCTCTTTCTCTCTCCATTCTCATTCCTTATTTGCCACTTTTTCTCTCTTTTTCTTTTCTTTTTCATATACATCATCAGTCTTCTTCTCTCTTTCTCTCTCCCATTCTCATTTCCTTATTTGCCACTTTTTTCTCTTTTTCTTTTCTTTTTCATATATCATCATCTTCTTCTCTCTTTTCTCTCCATTCTCATTCCTTATTTGCCACTTTTTCTCTTTTTCTTTTCTTTTCATATCATCATCATCTTTCTTCATTTCTCTCTTTTCTTTTCTCATCCAGTCTTCTTTCTCATTCCTTATTTGCCACTTTTTTTTCTTTTTTTCTTTTCTTTTCATATACATCATCAGTCTTCTTTTCTCTCTTTCTCTCTCCATTCTCATTCCTTATTTGCCACTTTTTCTCTTTTTCTTTTCTTTTCATATACATCATCAGTCTTCTTCTCTCTTTCTCTCTCCATTCTCATTCCTTATTTGCCACTTTTTCTCTTTTTCTTTTCTTTTCTTTACATCATCAGTCTTCTTCATCTTTCTCTCCATTCTCTTATTTCTTTTCTCTTTTCTTTTCTTTTCTCTCATCATCATTCTTCTTCTCTTCTCTGCCATTCTCATTTTTTTCACTTTTTTCTTTTTTTCTTTTTTTTATACATCATCAGTCTTCTTCTCTCTTTTCTCTCTCCATTCTCATTCCTTATTTGCCACTTTTTTTCTCTTTTCTTTTCTTTTCTTATACATCATCAGTCTTCTTCTCTCTTTCTCTCTCCATTCTCATTTCCTTATTTGCCCTTTTTCTCTTTTCTTTTCTTTTCATATACATCATCCAGTCTTCTTCTCTCTTTCTCTCTCCATTCTCATTCCTTATTTGCCACTTTTTCTCTTTTCTTTTCTTTTCATATACATCATCAGTCTTCTTCTTCTCTCTCCATTCTCATTTCCATTTTCATTCTTTTTCTCTTTTCTCTTTTTCTTTTCTTTTCATATACATCATCAGTCTTCTTCTCTCTTTCTCTCTCCATTCTCATTCCTTATTTGCCACTTTTCTCTTTTCTTTTCTTTTCATCTTCATCATCAGTCTTCTTCTCTTTCTCTCTCCATTCTCATTCCTTATTTGCCACTTTTTTCTCTTTTCTTTTCTTTTCATATACATCATCAGTCTTCTTCTCTCTTTCTCTCATTCTCATTCCTTGTTGCCACTTTTTCTCTTTTCTTTTCTTTTCATATACATCATTCTTCTTCTTTTCTCTTTTTCTCTCTCCATTCTCATTCTCATTCCTTATTTGCCACTTTTTCTCTTTTTCTTTTCTTTTCATAGCCATCATCAGTCTTCTTCTCTCTCCATTCTCATTCCTTATTTGCCACTTTTCTCATCTTTTCTTTTCACCCATCATTTTCTTTTCTTTTTCTCTTTCTCATTCCTTTTCTTTTCTCTTTTTCTTTTCATCATCAGTCTTCTTCTCTCTTTCTCTCTCCCATTTTCTCATTCCTTATTTGCCCACTTTTTCTTTTTCTTTTTTTCTTTTCTTTCTCTTTCTCTCTCCATCGGTCACCTTCATCTTCTTTTCTCTTTCTCTCTCCATTCTCATTTCCTTATTTGCCACTTTTTTTCTCTTTTTTCTTTTTCTTTTCATATACATCATCAGTCTTCTTCTCTCTATCTCTCTCCATTCTCATTCCTTATTTGCCACTTTTTCTCTTTTTCTTTTCTTTTCATATACATCATCAGTCTTCTTCTCTTTTTCTCTCTCCATTCTCATTCCTTATTTGCCACTTTTTCTCTTTTTCTTTTCTTTTCATATACATCATCAGTCTTCTTCTCTCTATCTCTCTCCATTCTCATTTCCTTATTTGCCACTTTTCTCTTTTTCTTTTTCTTTTCATATACATCATCAGTCTTCTTCTCTCTTTCTCTCTCCATTCTCTTTTCCTTATTTGCCACTTTTTTCTCTTTTCTTTTCTTTTCATATACATCATCAGTCTTCTTCTCTCTTTCTCTCTCCATTCTCATTCCTTATTTGCCACTTTTTCTCTTTTTCTTTTCTTTTCATATACATCATCAGTCTTCTTCTCTCTTTCTCTCTCCATTCTCATTCCTTATTTGCCACTTTTTCTCTTTTTCTTTTCTTTTCATATACATCATCAGTCTTCTTCTCTCTTTCTCTCCATTCTCATTCCTTATTTGCCCTTTTTTCTCTTTTTCTTTTCTTTTCATATACATCATCAGTCTTCTTCTCTCTATTCTCTCCATTCTCTTTTCTTTTTCTTTTTTGCCACTTTTTCTCTTTTCTTTCTTTTCTTTTCATATACATCATCAGTCTTCTTCTCTCTTTCTCTCTCCATTCTCATTCCTTATTTGCCACTTTTTCTCTTTTTCTTTTCTTTTCATATACATCATCAGTCTTCTTCTCTCTTTCTCTCTCATTTCTCATTCCTTATTTGCCACTTTTTCTCTTTTTCTTTTCTTTTCATATACATCATCAGTCTTCTTCTCTCTTTCTCTCTCCATTCTCATTCCTTATTTGCCACTTTTTCTCTTTTTCTTTTCTTTTCATATACATCATCAGTCTTCTTCTCTCTTTCTCTCTTCATTCTCATTCCTTATTTGCCACTTTTTCTCTCTTTTTTCTTTTCTTTTCATATACATCATCAGTCTTCTTCTCTCTTTCTCTCTCTCATTCTCATTCCTTATTTGCCACTTTTTTCTCTCTTTTTCTTTTCTTTTTTTTCATTCGGTCTTCTTCTCTCTTTCTCTCTCCATTCTCATTCCTTATTTGCCACTTTTTTCTTTTTCTTTTCTTTTCATATCATCATCAGTCTTCTTCTCTCTTTTCTCTCCATTCTCATTTCCTTATTTGCCACTTTTTTCTTTTCTTTTCTTTTTCCTTATACATCATCAGTCTTCTTCTCTCTTTCTCTCTCATTCTCATTCCTTATTTGCCCTTTTCTCTTTTTCTTTTCTTTTCATATACATCATCAGTCTTCTTCTTCTCTTTCTCTCTCATTTCTCATTCCTTGTTGCCACTTTTTCTCTTTTTTCTTTTCATTTTATTTGCCATACTATTCATCTTCTTCTCTCTTTCTCTCATTCTCATTCCTTATTTGCCACTTTTTCTTTTTTTCTTTTTCTTTTCATTTCATCAGTCTTCTTCTTCTCTTTCTCTTCCCATTCTCATTTCCTTATTTGCCACTTTTTTCTTTTCTTTTTCTTTTCATATACATCATCAGTCTTCTTTCTCTTTCTCTCTCCATTCTCTTTTTCCTTATTTGCCACTTTTTCTCTTTTTCTTTTCTTTTTTCTTTTATACATCATCAGTCTTCTTCTCTCTTTCTCTCTCTCATTCCTCATTCCTTATTTGCCACTTTTTTCTCTTTTCTTTTTCTTTTCCTTATATACATCATCAGTCTTCTTCTCTTCTTTCTCTCTCCATTCTCATTCCTTATTTGCCACTTTTTTCTCTTTTTCTTTTTCTTTTCATATACATCATCAGTCTTCTTCTTTCTTTCTCTCTCCATTCTCATTCCTTATTTGCCACTTTTCTTTTTCTCTTTTTCTTTTCTTTTCTCTATCCATCATTCAGTCTTCTTCTCTCTCTTTTCTCTCTCCATTCTCTCATTCTTTTCCTTATTTGCCACTTTCTCTTTTTCTTTTCTTTTCATATACATCATCAGTCTTCTTCTCTCTTTCTCTCTCCATTCTCATTCCTTATTTGCCACTTTTTCTCTTTTTTCTTTTCTTTTCTTATACATCATCAGTCTTCTTCTTCTTCTCTCTTTCTCTCTCCACTTTTCTCTTTTCCTTATTTGCTTCACTTTTTCTCTTTTTTCTTTTCTTTTCTTATACATCATCAGTCTTCTTCTCTCTTTCTCTCTCCATTCTCATTCCTTATTTGCCACTTTTCCTTTTCTTTTTTTTTCTTTTCTTTTTTCTTTTCTCTCCATACATCTTATTTCACTTTCTTCTTTTTCTTTCTTTCTCTCTCCATTCTCTTTCTCTCTCCATTGCCTTATTTGCCACTTTTTCTTTTTCTTTTCTTTTCATATACATCATCAGTCTTCTTCTCTCTTTCTCTCTCCATTCTCATTCCTTGCTTTTCTCTTTTTCTTTTCTTTTTATACATCCAGTCTTCTTCTTTTTTCTCTCTTTTCTTTTTTCTTTTCTTTTTATACATCATCAGTCTTCTTCTCTCTTTTCTCTCCATTCTCATTTCCTTATTTGCCACTTTTTTCTCTTTTTCTTTTCTTTTCATATACATCATCAGTCTTCTTCTCTCTTTCTCTCTCCATTCTCATTCCTTATTTGCCACTTTTTCTCTTTTTTTTCTTTTCTTTCATCATACATCATCAGTCTTCTTCTCTCTTTCTCTCTCCATTCATTCTTTCCTTATTTGCCACTTTTTCTCTTTTCTTTTCTTTTTCTCTCCATTCTCACATCATCTTTTCTTCTTCTCATCTCTTTCTCTCTCCATTCTCATTCCTTATTTGCCACTTTTTTCTTTTCTTTTCTTTTCATATACATCATCAGTCTTCTTCTCTCTTTCTCTCTCCATTCTCATTCCTTATTTGCCACTTTTTCTCTTTTTTTTTCTTTTCTTTTCAGTCTTCTTCATCTCTCTCTTCTTCTTCACTTTTTCTCTCTTTTCCATTCTCATTCCTTCTCTTTTCCACTTTTCTCTTTTCTTTTCTTTTTTTATACATCATCAGTCTTCTTCTCTCTCCATTCTCATTTCTATTTGCCACTTTTTTCTCTTTTCTTTTCTTTTTCATATACATCCACTTTTTCTCTTTTCTTTTTTTTTTTTTTCATATACATCATCAGTCTTCTTCTCTCTTTCTCTCCATTCTCATTCCTTATTTGCCACTTTTTCTCTTTTTCTTTTCTTTTCATATACATCATCAGTCTTCTTCTCTCTTTCTCTCTCCATTCTCATTCCTTATTTTGCCACTTTTTTTCTTTTTCTTTTTCTTTTTCATATACATCATCAGTCTTCTTCTCTCTCTCTCCATTCTCATTCCTTATTTGCCACTTTTTTCTCTTTTCTTTTCTTTTCATATACATCATCAGTCTTCTTCTCTCTATCTCTCTCCATTCTCATTCCTTATTTGCCACTTTTTCTCTTTTTCTTTTCTTTTCATATACATCATCAGTCTTCTTCTCTCTTTCTCTCTCCATTCTCATTCCTTATTTGCCACTTTTCTTTTCTTTTCTTTTCAGTCTTTTCTTTTTCTCTCCATTCTCATTCTTATTTGCCACTTTTCTCTTTTTCTTCTTTCATATACATCATCTCCATTCTCATTTCCTCCATTCTTTCCATTTGCCTTTTTCTCTTTTCTTTTCTTTTCATATACATCATCAGTCTTCTTCTCTCTTTCTCTCTCCATTCTATTCCTTATTTGCCACTTTTCTCTTTTTTTCTTTTTTACATCATCAGTCTTTTCTCTTTTCTCTTTTCTCATTCATCCTATTTGCCCACTTTTTTTCTCTTTTCTTTTCTTTTCATTCTACATCACTTAGTCTTCTTCTTTCTTTCTCTCTCATTTCATTTCCTTTTCTTTTTGCTTTCTTTTTCTTTTTTCTTCTCTCTCTTCTCTCATCTCTCCATTCTCATTTCCTTATTTGCCACTTTTTCTCTTTTCTTTTTTTTCTCATCATCAGTCTTCTTCTCTTTTCTCTTCATTCTCATTCCTTATTTGCCCTTTTCTTTTCTTTCTTCTTCTATTCTCTCTTTCTCTTCATTCTCTTTTCCTTATTTGCCACTTTTTCTTTTTTTTTTTCATATACATCATCAGTCTTCTTCTCTTTCTCTCTCCATTCTCATTCCTTGTTGCCACTTTTCTCTTTTCTTTTCTTTTCATATACATCATCAGTCTTCTTCTCTCTTTCTCTCTCCATTCTCATTCCTTATTTGCCACTTTTTCTCTTTTCTTTTCTTTTTTTTTCAGTCTTCTTCTCTCTTTCTCTCTCCATTCATTCCTTATTTGCCACTTTTCTCTTTTCTTTTCTTTTCATATACATCATCAGTCTTCTTCTCTCTTTCTCTCTCCATTCTCATTCCTTATTTGCCACTTTTTCTCTTTTTCTTTTCTTTTCATATACATCATCAGTCTTCTTCTCTCTATCTCTCTCCATTCTCATTCCTTATTTGCCACTTTTTCTCTTTTCTTTTCTTTTCCTTCATCAGTCTTCTTCTCTCTTTCTCTCTCATTCTCACATTTCTTGTTCATTCTCTCTTCTTTTCTTTTTCCTACATCATTTCTTCTCCTTTCTTCTCATTCTCCATCATCTTTTGCCACTTTCTCTTCTCTTTTCTTTTTTCATCATTCTTTTTCTCTTTTCTTCACTTTTCTTCTTTTCTCTTTTCTTTTTCTCTCCAGTCTTCTTCTCTCTATCTCTATCCATTCTCATTCCTTTTTTGCCTCTCTTTTCTTTTCTTTTCATATACATCATCAGTCTTCTTCTCTCTTTCTCTCTCCATTCTCATTCCTTATTTGCCACTTTTCTCTTTTTTTCTTTTTTTTCATATACATCATCAGTCTTCTTCTCTCTTCTCTCCATTCTCATTCCTTATTTGCCACTTTTTCTCTTTTTTCTTTTCTTTTCATATACATCATCAGTCTTCTTCTCTTTTCTCTCCATTCCTCATTCCTTATTTGCCACTTTTCTCTTTTTTTCTTTTCTTTTCATATACATCATCAGTCTTCTTCTCTATCTCTCCATTCTCTTTCCTTATTTGCCCTTTTCTCTTTTTCTTTTCTTTTTATACATCATCAGTCTTCTTCTCTTTCTCTCTTCATTCTCTTTCTTTTGCCACTTTTTCTTTTCTTTTCATCGCATCAGTCTTCTTCTCTCTTTCTCTTCATTTCTCATTTCTTATTTGCCACTTTTCTCTTTTTCTTTTCTTTTCATATACATCATCAGTCTTTCTCTCTCCATTCTCTCTCTCCACTTTTTTCTCCTTTTTCTTTTTTCATTCCTTTCTTGCCTCTTTTCTCATTTTCCTTTTTCTTTTCATATACATCATCAGTCTTCTTCTCTCTTTCTCTCTCATTCTCATTTCCTTATTTGCCACTTTTTCTCTTTTCTTTTCTTTTCATATACATCATCAGTCTTCTTCTCTCTTTCTCTCTCCATTCTCATTCCTTATTTGCCACTTTTCTCTTTTCTTTTCTTTTCATATACATCATCAGTCTTCTTCTCTCTTTCTCTCTCCATTCTCATTCCTTATTTGCCCTTTTTCTCTTTTTCTTTTCTTTTTCATATACATACATCTCTCTCCATTCTCATTCCTTGTTGCCCACTTTTTCTCTTTCTTTCTTTTCTACATCATCAGTCTTCTTCTCTCTTTCTCCATTCTCATTTCTTATTTGCCCACTTTTCTCTTTTCTTTTCTTTTCTTATACATCATCAGTCTTCTTCTCTTTCTCTCTCCATTCTCATTCCTTATTTGCCCTTTTTTTCTCTTTTCTTTTCTTTTCATAGCCACATCATCAGTCTTCTTCTCTCTTTCTCTCTCCATTCTCCATTCCTTATTTGCCACTTTTTCTCTTTTTCTTTTCTTTTCATAGCCATCATCAGTCTTCTTCTCTCTTTTTCTCCATTCTCAATATTTGCCACTTTTTCCTTTTTCTTTTCAATCATCAGTCTTCTTCTCTTTCTCTCCATTCTCATTTTCCTTATTCAGCCACTTTTCTTTTCATATACATCATCAGTCTTCTTCTCTTTCTCTCTCCATTCTCATTCCTTATTTGCCACTTTTCTCTCTTTTTTCTTTATTTTCATATACATCGTTCTCATTCTTCTTCTTTCTCTTTTTTCCGCCTCATTCTCATTCCTTCTTCTTCACTTTTTCTCTTTTTCTTTTTCTTTTTCTTAATCATCAGTCTTCGCTCTTTTCTCTCTCATTCTCATTCCTTATTTGCCCTTTTTTTCTCTTTTTCTTTTCTTTTCACCATACATCCAGTCAGTCTTCTTCTCTCTTTTCTCTCTTCATTTCTCATTTCCTTATTTGCCACTTTTTCTCTTAGCTTTTCTTTTCATATACATCATCAGTCTTCACTCTTTCAACCATTCATTCCTTAACCACTTTTCTTTTTCTTTTCTTTTTCATATACATCATCCAGTCAGCTCTCTATCTCTCTCTCTCATCCTCATTCCGCCACAACCTCTTTTCTTTTTTTCTTTTTCTTTTCAGTCTTCTTCTCTTTCTCTCCATTCTCATTCCTTATTTGCCACTTTTTTCTCTTTTTCTTTTCTTTTCCTTATACATCATCAGTCTTCTTTCTCTTTCTCTCCATTCTCCACCACATTTGCCCTTTTTCCTTTTTTCTTTTCTTTTCATATTCATCATCAGTCTTCTTCTCTCTTTATCTCTCCATTCTCATTCCTTATTTGCCACTTTCTCTTTTCTTTTTCTTTTCATATACATCATCAGTCTTCTTCTCTTTTCTCTCCATTCTCATTCCTTGTTGCCCTTTTTCTCTTTTTCTTTTCTTTTCATATACATCATCAGTCTTCTTCTCTTTCTCTCTTCATTCTCATTTCCTTATTTGCCACTTTTCTCTTTTTCTTTTCTTTTTCATATACATCATCAGTCTTCTTCTCTCTCTATCTCTATCCATTCTCATTATTTGCCACTTTTTTCTCTTTTTCTTTTCTTTTCATATACATCATCAGTCTTCTTCTCTCTTTCTCTCCATTCTCATTCCTTGCATTTGCTTTTTTTTCTCTTTTCTTTTCATACTACATCATCAGTCTTCTTCTCTTTCTCTCCATTCTCATTTCCTTATTTGCCTTTTTTCTCTTTCTTTTCTTTTCTTATACATCATCAGTCTTCTTCTTTCTTTCTCTCCCATTTCTCATTTCCTTATTTGCCACTTTTTCTTTTCTTTTCTTTTTTCTTTTCTCTCTATCATCATCATTCTCATTTCCTTGCCACTTTTTCTCTTTTCTTTTCTTTTCATTTTCCTCAGTTTGCCGCTTTTCTCTTTTTCTTTTCACTTTTTCTTTTCTTTTCATATACATCATCAGTCTTCTTCTCTTTCCTCTCTCCATTTCTCATTCCTTATTTGCCCTTTTCCTCTTTTCTTTTTTTCATATACATCATCAGTCTTCTTCTCTCTCTCCATTCTCATTCCTTATTTGCCACTTTTCTCTTTTCTTTTCTTTTTCATATACATCATCAGTCTTCTTCTCTTCTTTCTCCATTCTCATTCCTTATTTGCCCTTTTTCTCTTTTCTTTTCTTTTTCCTTATACATCAGTCTTCTTCTCTCTTTCTCTCTCCATTCTCATTCCTTATTTGCCACTTTTTCTCTTTTCTTTTTTCTTTTCATATACATCATCAGTCTTCTTCTCTCTATCTCTTTCCATTCTCATTTCCTTATTTGCCCTTTTTCTCTTTTCTTTCTTTTCTTATACATCATCAGTCTTCTTCTCTTTCTCTCTCATTCTCTCCACCCTTTTCTCTTTCTTTCCTTATACATCCCATCAAGTCTTTTCTCTCTCTCTTTTCTCTTTTCTTTTCTTTTTCTTTCTTTTTCATCAGTCTTCTTCTCTCTTTTCTCTCTCATTTCTCATTCCTTATTTTGCCACTTTTTCTTTTTTTTCTTTTCTTTTCATGCCTCTCCATCATCATTTCCTTCTTTTTCTCTTTTCTTTTTCTTTTCTCTCCATTCTCTTTCTCTCCATTTTGCCATTTCCCTTTTTCTCTTTTCTTTTCTTTTCTATACATCATCAGTCTTCTTCTCTCTTTTCTCATTCCATTCTCATTTCCTTTTTGCACTTTTTCTTTTTTTTCAGTTTTCTTTCATATACATCCATCAGTCTATTTCTTTCTTTTCTTTCTCTCTCCAGTCTTCTTCTCTTTTTTCCTCCATTTTGCCACTTTTTGCCTCTTTTTCTTTTCTTTTCATATACATCATCAGTCTTCTTCTCTCTTTCTCTCTCATTCTCATTCCTTTTGCCACTTTTCTCTTTTTTCTTTTCTTTTCATATAATCATCAGTCTTCTTCTCTCTTTCTCAGCATTCTCATTCTTATTTTACCACTTTTCTCTTTTCTTTTCTTTTCCACCATCATCAGTCTTCTTCTCTTTTCTCTCTCTCCATTCTCACCTTCCTTTTGCCACTTTTTCTCTTTTCTTTTCTTTTCATATACATCATCAGTCTTCCGTCTTTCTCTCTCATTCTCATTTCCTTATTTGCCACAACCAGCTTTTTCTTTTCTTTTCATATAATCATCAGTCTTCTTCTCTCTCCATTTCTCATTTCTTATTTCCTTTTCTCTTTTCTTTTCTTTTTATACATCATGTCTTCTTCACTTTTCTCTCATTTTTTCCTTTTCTTTTCCACAACAGCAGTCTTCTTCTCTCTTTCTCTCTCCATTCTCATTCCTTATTTGCCAGCTTTCTTTTCTTTTTTTTCTTTTCATATACATATCAGTCTTCTTCTCTCTCTCTCTCCATTCTCATTCCTTATTTGCCACTTTTTTTCTCTTTTCTTTCTTTTTCATATACATCATCAGTCTTCTTCTCTCTTTCTCTCTCATTCTCATTTCCTTATTTGCCACTTTTTCTCTTTTCTTTTCTTTTCATATACATCATCAGTCTTCTTTCTCTCCATTCTCATTCTTTATTTGCCACTTTTTCTCTCTCCATTCTCATTTCCTTCTTTTCCATTCCTTATTTCTTTCTTTTTTCTTTTTCTTTTCATATACATCATCAGTCTTCTTCTTTCTCTCTCATTTCTCATTTCCTTGTTGCCACTTTTTCTCTTTTCTTTTTCTTTTCTTATACATCATCAGTCTTCTTCTCTCTTTCTCTCCATTTCTCATTACCTTATTTGCCACTTTTTCTCTTTTCTTTTTCTTTTCATATACATCATCAGTCTTCTTCTTTCTTTCTCTCCATTTCTCATTCCCTTATTTGCCCACTTTTTTTCTTTTCTTTTTCTTTTCATATCATCATCAGTCTTCTTCTCTCTATCTCTCTCCATTCTCATTTTCCTTATTTGCCACTTTTCTCTTTTTCTTTTCTTTTCATAGCCATCATCAGTCTTCTTCTCTCTTTTCTCTTCATTCCATTCTCATTCTTTTCTTTGCCACTCATTTCTTCTTCTTTTCTCTCTCCATTTTTCTTTTTCATATACATCATCAGTCTTCTTCCTCTCTTTCTCTCCATTCTCATTCCTTATTTGCCACTTTTCTCTTTTTCTTTTTCTTTTCATATACATCATCGATCTTCTTCTCTCTTTTCTCTCTCCATTCTCATTCCTTATTTGCCACTTTTTCTCTTTTCTTTTCTTTTTCATATATACATCATCAGTCTTCTTCTCTCTATCTCTCATTCTCATTCTCATTTCCACTTTTTTTTTTTTTCTTTTTTTTTCTTTTCATAACCATCATCAGTCTTCTTCTCTTTCTCTCTCCATTCTCATTCTTGTGCCACTTTTTCTCTTTTTCTTTTCTTTTCATATACATCATCAGTCTTCTTCTTCTCTCTTTCTCCATTCTCATTTCCTTATTTGCCACTTTTTCTCTTTTTCTTTTCTTACATTTCTTCTTACCTACCATTTCATTTCCAGCCACTTTTCTTTTCTTTTCTCTCTCCTTTTTCTCTTATTCCTTATTTGCCACTTTTCTCTTTTCTTTTCTTTTCATAGCCATCATCAGTCTTCTTCTCTCTATCTCTCCATTCTCATTTTCCTTATTTGCCACTTTTTCTCTTTTCTTTTCTTTTCTTTATACATCATCGGTCTTCTTCTCTCTCTTTCTCTCCCATTTCATTCCTTATTTGCCACTTTTTTTCTTTTCTTTTCTTTTCATATACATCATCAGTCTTCTTTCTCTTTCTCTCCCATTCTCATTCTGTTGCCCTTTTTCTCTTTTCTTTTCTTTTCATATACATCATCAGTCTTCTTCTCTTTCTCTCTCTCCATTCTCATTCCTTATTTGCCACTTTTTCTTTTCTTTTTCTTTCGCCATACATCATCAGTCTTCTTCTCTCTTTCTCTCATTTCTCATTCCTTATTTGCCCTTTTTCTCTTTTCTTTTCTTTTTCATATACATCATCAGTCTTCTTCTCTCTTTCTCTCTCCATCTCATTCCTTATTTGCCTTTTTTCTCTTTTTTCTTTTCTTTTCTTATACATCATCAGTGTCTTCATTCTCATTCCTGCCACTTTTATCTTTTTCTCTCTGTCATCTCAGTCTTCTTCTCTCTATCTCTCTCCATTCTCATTTGCTTTTTCTCTTTTCTTTTTCTTTTCTTTCATATCCCATCAGTCTTCTTCTCTCTTTCTCTCTTCATTTCTCATTCCTTATTTGCCACTTTTTTCTTTTCTTTTCTTTTTATACATCATCAGTCTTCTTCTCTCTTTCTCTCTCCATTCTCTTTCCTTATTTGCCACTTTTCTCTTTTTTCTTTTCTTTTACATCATCAGTCTTCTTCTCTCTTTTCTCTCATTCTCATTCCTTATTGCCCCTTTTTTTTCTTTTTCTTTTCATATACATCATCAGTCTTCTTCTCTCTCTCCATTCTCATTCCTTTTTTGCCACTTTTCTCTTTTCTTTTTCTTTTCATATACGTCATCAGTCTTCTTCTTTCTTTCTCTCCATTCTCATTCCTTATTTGCCACTTTTTTCTCTTTTCTTTTTCTTTTCTTATACATCATCAGTCTTCTCTATCTCTCTCCATTCTCATTCCTTATTTTGCCACTTTTCTCTTTTCTTTTCTTTTCTCTCATCATCATTTCTTCTTCTCTCTTTCTCTCATTCTCATTTCATTCATTTTCCACTTTTTTCTCTTTTCTTTTCTTTACATCATCAGTCTTCTTCTCTCTTTCTCTCATTCTCATTCTTATTTGCCACTTTTCTTCTTTTCTTTTCTTTTATACATCATCAGTCAGTCTTTCTCTCTTTCTCTCATCTCCATTTCTCATTCCTTATTTGCCACTTTTCTCTTTTTCTTTTCTTTTTTATACATCATCAGTCTTCTTCTCTTTCTCTCTCCATTCTCGTTGCCTTCATTTTTCTCTTTTTCTTTTCTTTTCTTTTCATTTCATCATCGGTCTTCTTCTCTCTTTTCTCTCTCATTCTCATTCCTTATTTGCCACTTTTCTCTTTTCTTTTCTTTTCCATACATCATCAGTCTTCTTCTCTCTTTCTCTCTCATTCTCATTCCTTATTTGCCACTTTTCTCTTTTTCTTTTCTTTTTCTTCATCATCAGTCTTCTTCTCTTTCTCTCTCCATTCTCTCATTCCTTTTTGCCCTTTTTTCTCTTTTTCTTTTCTTTTTCTATACATCATCAGTCTTCTTCTCTATTTCTCTCTCCATTCTCATTCCTTATTTGCCACTTTTCTCTTTTTTTCTTTTTCTTTCATCATCAGTCTTCTTCTCTTTCTCTCTCATTCTCATTCCTTGTTTCTTTTTCTTCTTTCTTTCGCCGCCATTTCTTCTTCTCCTATCTCTCTCATTCCTTATTGCCACTTTTTCTCTTTTTCTTTTTCTTTTCCTTATACATCATCAGTCTTCTTCTCTCTTTTCTCTCTTCATTCTCATTTTCCTTATTTGCCACTTTTTTTCTCTTTTTCTTTTCTTTTCTGCCATACATCAGTCTTCTTCTCTCTATCTCTCTCCATTCTCATTCCTTATTTGCCACTTTTCCTCTTTTCTTTTCTTTTCCTTAGCATCATCAGTCTTCTTCTCTTTTTCTCTCCATTCTCATTCCTTATTTGCCACTTTTTCTCTTTTTCTTTTTCTTTTTCATATACATCATCAGTCTTCTTCTCTCTTTCTCCATTCTCATTTCTTATTTGCCACTTTTCTCTTTTCTTTTTTTTTCATACTTCATCATCCAGTCTTCTTTCTTTCTCTTTCATTCATTCCTTATTTGCCACTTTTCTCTTTTCTTTTCTTTTCATATACATCATCTTCTCTCTATCTCTCCATTCTCATTCCCTTGTTTTGCCACTTTTTTCTCTTTTCTTTTCTTTTTCGCCTTACATCATCAGTCTTCTTCTCTCTTTCTCTCTCCATCCTTATTTGCCACTTTTCTTTTCTTTTTTGCCACTTTTTCTTTTCTTTCCATTCATCTTTTCAGTCATCATCTCTCTTTTCTCTCTCCATTCTCCCCTTATTTGCCACTTTTTTCTCTTTTTTCTTTTTCTTTTCATCTCATTTCTCATCAGTCTTCTTCTCATCTCTCCATTCTCTTCTTGCCACTTTTTCTCTATCTCTTTTTCTCATCCACCTTCTTCTCTCTTTCTCTTGCCATTCTCATTTTTCTCTTTCTCTTTTCTTTTTCTTTTATACATCATCATTCTTCTTCTCTCTTTCTCTCTCCATTCTCATTCCTTATTTGCCTCTTTTTTTTCTTTTCTCTTTTTCTTTTCTTTTCTCTCCATTCTCATTCATTCACTTTTCTCTTTTCTTTTCTTCTTCTCTATAGTCTTCTTTTTCTCTCTCCATTCTCATTTCCTTTTTTTGCCCTTTTCTCTCTCTTTTCTTTCATATACATCATCAGTCTTCTTTCTCTTTTCTCTCCATTCTCTCCTTCCTTATTACAACCTTTTTCTTTTTCTTTTCTGCATCATTCAGTCTTCTTTTCTCTCATCCATTCTCATTCCTGTTGCCACTTTTTTTCTCTTTTTCTTTTCTTTTCCTGCAGCATCATCATCTTCTTCTCTTTATCTCTCTCCATTCTCATTTCATTTGCCACTTTAACTCACCTTTTCTTTTCATGCATCATTCTTTTCACTTTTTCTCATCTCCATTTCTCATGTAACCTAATTGCCAGCATTCATCTCACTTTTCTCTCATCTCCATTTCTCATTTTAACCACCTAATTGCCACTTTTTCATCTTTTCTTTTCTTTTCTCTCATCTCAGTTTCTCATGTAACCACCTCTCATCTTTCCACTTTTTCTCATCTCCATTTCTTTAACCACCTTTTCTCTGCAGCATTCATCTTTTCTCTTTTTCTCATCTCCATTTCTCATTGCCAACCACCTAATTTTCACTTTTTTCTTTTCTTTTCTCCACCTCTTTCTTCTCTTTTTTCTCTCTCTCATTCCTCATTTCTGCAGCATTCATCTTTCAGTCTTTTCTCTCATCTCCATTTCTCATGTAACCACTCTGCAGCATTCATTTTCACTTTCTCTTTCTCCCTTTTCTCTTTCTAACCACCTCAATTCATTCATCTCTTTCACTTTTCTTTCATCTCTCCATCTCTCCTCTCATTCATCTTTCCATTCTTCCATTTCTCATATAACCACCTAATTTCTCTCTCATTCTCATTCATCTTTCCACTTTCTCTTTCTCCTTTCTCATGTAACCAGTCTTCTTCTCTCTTTGCTCTACCATTTCATCTTTTTTTCTCATCTTTTCTTTCTCATATAACCATCATCATTCATCTTTCCCTTTCTCTCATCTCCATTTCTCATTTAACCACCTTTTCTCTTTTCTCTCTCCATTTCTCATAATTCCAGCATTCATCTTTTCCACTTTTCTCTCATCTTCTTTCTCCACCCTAATTTTCTATTACATTCTTTCTTTTTTCTTTTCTCTCATTTTCATCAGTCTCTTTTTCTCTCTCATCTTTCCACTTTTCTCTTTTCTTTTTCTTTGTAACCACCTATTGCATCATCATTCTTCTTCTCTCTTTCTCTCCATTTCTCATTAACCACTTTTCTCATTCATTTTCATCTCATGCATTTCTTCTCTCTTTTCCCTAGTCTTCAGCATTCATTCCACTTTTCTCTCATCTCCATTTCTCTAACCACCTAATTTCTTCTCTCATTCATCTTTCACTTTTTCTCTCTCCATTTCTCATATTAACCACCTCCTGCTTCATTCATATTTCTCTCATCTCCATTTCTCATGTAACCACCTAATTCTTCATCTCCATTCTCTTTGCACTGCAGCATTCATTTTCTCTCATCTCCATTTCTTTAACCACCTATTTTACTACATTCATCTTTCCACTTTTTCTCTTTCTCCATTTCTCATCTCCTGCTCTGCAGCATTCATCTTTCCACTTTTCTCTTCTCATTTCTCATAACCACCTAATTACTGCAGCATTCATCTTTCCTTTTCTCTCATCTCCATTTTCTCATGTAACCACCCCATCTGCATTCATTACATCTTTCATCTCCCCATTTCTCAACCACCTAGTGCAGCATTCATTGGACTTTTCTCTCTCTCTCCATTTCTCACTCACCACCCTAGTACAAGCAATTCTATCTCCATATATCTCTCATATATTTTCTCTATATCCATTTCTCAATGTAAATTGCACTGCAGCATTCTATTTCTCTATATTTGACAAATAAATGAATAATTCATCTTTCAAAAACATAAAGCATTTCTCATGTAACCACTAATTTCTCATTCATCATTCCACTTTTTCTCTCATCTCCATTTCTCGGCCAACCACCTACTTGTTGCATTCATCTTTCCACTTTTCTCTCATCTCCCTATGACAGAACTCTCATCTCCCATTTTGACAGAACCTGCATCAGCTTTCAGCACTCTCTCTCATCTCCAACAAAAATAGATAACTCAGCATTCATCTTTCCACTTTTTACTCTCATCTCCATAATGAAGATTTAAAGACCTTTTGCACTATTCCATTCAAAACTTTTTCTCTCATCTCCATTACTGGAAGGGATAACCTAATTGAACTGCAGAATTCATCTTTTTTCTGAAAAATTGTTTTAAGAGAAAAATTCATTGAATGTTTCTTTATTGAGAAATAACCACCTAATTACTCTTTCATCTTTCATTATATATATCTATATATATATATATATATATATGTAATTTCCCTCCATTCTTGTGGCTAATGTGTATTCATTTCCACTTTTCTCATCTCCATTTTCGCATAATCTCTGCAGCATTCATCTTTCCACTTTCTAATATAAACAAAACCACCAAGCAAATATTTCATCTTTCTAAATTTTCATCTCATTTTTCATTAATCACCTAATTGCTATAAAAATTCATTTTCAATTCTCTCATCTCTTTAACCACTTTTCTTTTCTCATCTCCATTTCTCATGCCAACCATATTGCATCATCAGTCTTTTTCTCTCTCTCCATTTCTTTAACCACCCTCTGCAGCATTCATCTTTTCACTTTTTTCTCATCTCATTTCTAACCACCTAATTGCTCTGCAGCATTCATCTTTCCTTTTCTCTCATCTCCATTTTTCTTTTCATTTTCATTCATCTCCACTTTTCTCTCATCTCCATTTTTTAACCACCTTTGCAGCATTCATCTTTCTTTTCTCATGTTCATCATTCCTTATGCCCAACCACCTAATTTGCGGCATTCATCTTTTTTCTCATCTCCTTAACCACCATTCTTCATTCTTTCCACTTTTTCTCTCATCTCCATTTCTCATGTAACCACCTAATTGCTCTGCAGCATTCATCTTTCCACTTTTCTCTCATCTCCATTTCTCATGTAACCACCTAATTGCTCTGCCATTCATCTCACTTTTTTCTCATCTCCATTTCTCATGTAACCACCTAATTGCTCATTCATCTTTCCCTTTTCTCTCATCTCCATTTCTCATGTAACCACCTAATTGCACTGCAGCATTCATCTTTCTTTTCTCTCATCTCCATTTCTCATGTAACCACCTAATTCTGCAGCATTCATTCCACTTTTCTCTCATCTCCATTTCTCATGTAACCACCATCTGCAGCATTCATCTTTCCACTTTTTCTCTCATCTCCATTTCTCATGTAACCACCTAATTGCACTGCAGCATTCATCTTTCCACTTTTTCTCTCATCTCCATTTCTCATGTAACCACCTAATTGCTCTGCAGCATTCATCTTTCACTTTTCTCTCATCTCCATTTCATGTAACCACCTAATTGCACTGCAGCATTCATCTTTCCACTTTTCTCTCATCTCCATTTCTCATGTAACCACCTAATTGCACTGCAGCATTCATTCCACTTTTCTCTCATCTCCATTTTCATGTAACCACCTAATTGCACTGCAGCATTCATCTTTCTTTTTCTCTCATCTCCATTTCTCATGTAACCACCCTAATTGCACTGCAGCATTTCATTCTTTCTCTCATCTCCATTTTCTTGTAACCACCTAATTTTCATCTTTCCACTTTTCTCTCATCTCCATTTCTCATGTAACCACCTAATTGCACTGCAGCATTCATCAGTCTCATCTCCATTTTCTCATTCATTCCACTTTTTTCTCTCATCTCCACCTAATTGCACTTTTTTTCTCTCATCTCCATTTTCATGTAACCACCTAATTGCACTGCAGCATTCATCTTTCCACTTTTTTCTCTCATCTCCATTTCTCATGTAACCACCTAATTGCACTGCAGCATTCATTCCACTTTTTTCTCTCATCTCCATTTCTCATGTAACCACCTAATTGCTCTGCATTCATCTTTCCACTTTTTCTCTCATCTCCATTTCTTTCATTTCATTCCACATCTCCATTTTTTCTCTAATTGCACTGCAGCATTCATTTCCACTTTTTCTCTCATCTCCATTTCTCATGTAACCACCTAATTGCACTGCAGCATTCATCTTTCCACTTTTTCTCTCATCTCCATTTCTCATTAACCACCTAATTGCTCTGCAGCATTCATCTTTCCACTTTTTCTCTCATCTCCATTTCTCATGTAACCAATTTCCAATTGCATTCCTTTTTCTCTCATGCACATTTCTAATTAACGCACCTAATCTCATCTCCATTTCTCATGTAACCACCTAATTCATCATTTTCCACTTTTCTCTCATCTCCATTTCTCATGTAACCACCTAATTGCACTGCAGCATTCATTCCACTTTTCTCTCATCTCCATTTCTCATGTAACCACTTTTGCTCTGCAGCATTTTCCACTTTTTCTCATCTCCATTTCTCATGTAACCACCTAATTGCACTGCAGCATTCATCTCCACTTTTCTCTCATCTCCATTTCTCATTAACCACCTAATTGCACTGCAGCATTCATTCCACTTTTTTCTCTCATCTCCATTTCTTAACCACCTTTGCAGCATTCATCTTCCACTTTTTCTCTCATCTCCATTTCTTTTTCACTGCAGCATTCATTCCACTTTTTCTCTCTCTCCATTTCTCATGTAACCACCTAATTGCACTGCAGCATTCATCTTTCCACTTTTCTCTCATCTCCATTTCTTTAACCACCTAATTCTCTGCAGCATTCATCTTTCCACTTTTCTCTCATCTCCTCATGTAACCACCTCTTTTCTTCCATTGCTCTGCAGCATTCATCTTTCCACTTTTTCTCTCATCTCCATTTCTCATAACCACCCTAATTGCACTGCAGCATTCATTCCACTTTTTCTCTCATCTCCATTTCTCATGTAACCATGCTCTGCAGCATTCATCTTTCCACTTTTCTCTCATCTCCATTTCTCATGTACCACCACTGCAGCATTAACTTTTTTCTCATCTCCATTTCTCATTAACCACCAATTGCACTGCAGCATTTCTTTCTTTCTCCATTTCTCATGTAACCACCTAATTGCACTGCAGCATTCATCTTTCCACTTTTCTCTCATCTCCATTTCTCATGTAACCACCTAATTGCACTGCAGCATTCATTCCACTTTCTCTCATCTCCATTCTCATGTAACCACCTAGTACTGCATTCATCTTTCCACTTTTCTGTCTCTTTCTCATGTAACCACCTGTTGCTCTGCAGCATTCATCTTCACTTTTCTGTCCATTTCTCATGCCAACACACACACAGTACTGCAGCATTCATTCCCTTTTCTCTCACCTCCATTTCATCTTAACCACCTAATTGCACTGCAGCATTCATCTTTCCACTTTTTCTCTCATCTCCATTTCTCATAACCACTAATTGCTCTGCAGCAATCATCTTTCCTTTTCTCTCATTTCTCATTTCTCATGCATTCATTCACTTTCTCTCATCTCCATTTCATGCCAACCTCTGCAGCATTCATCTTTCCTTTTCTCTCATCTCCATTTCTCATCTTAACCACCTAATTGCACTGCAGCATTCATTCACTTTTCTCATCTCCATTTTTCTCATGTAACTTTACCTAATTGCTCTTAAGCATTCATCTTTCCACTTTTCTCTCATCTCCATTTCTCAGCCTTAACCACCCTAATTGCACTGATATCATTTCCACTTTCTCTCATCTCCATTTTTCATACAACCACCTAGTACTGCAGCATTCATCTTTCACTTTTCTCTCTCATTTCTCATGTAACCACCTAAATTGCTCTGCAGCATTCATCTTTCCACTTTTCTCTCATCTCCATTTCTCATTAACCACCTAATTGCCTGCAGCATTCATTTCCACTTTTCTCTCATCTCCATTTTCTCATGCCAACCACCTAATTGCTCTGCAGCATTCATCTTTCCACTTTTTTCTCATCATCTCCATTTTCTCATGCCAACCACCTAATTGCACTGCAGCATTTCATTTCCCTTTTTCTCTCATCTCCATTTCTCATATAACCCCTAATTGCACTGCAGCATTCCTTTCCACTTTTCTCTCATCTCCATTTCTCATGCATAACCACCTAATTGCACTGCAGCATTCATTCCCACTTTTTTCTCTCATCTCCATTTCTCAATGTAACCACCTAATTGCACTGCAGCATTCATCTTTCCACTTTTTCTCTCATCTCCATTCTCCACCATTGCTCTAACCACCTAATTGCACTGCAGCATTTCATCTTTCCACTTTTCTCTCATCTCATTTCTCACATAACCACCTAATTGCACTGCAGCATTTCATCTTTCCACTTTTCTCTCATCTCCATTTCTCATGTAACCACCTAATTGCACTGCAGCATTCATCTTTCCACTTTTTCTCTCATCTCCATTTCTCATACTGTAACCACCTAATTGCACTGCAGCATTCATTTCCACTTTTCTCTCATCTCCATTTCTCATGTAACCACCTAATTGCTCTGCAGCATTCATCTTTCCACTTTTCTCTCATCTCCATTTCTCATGCCAACCACCTAATTACTGCAGCATTCATTCCCTTTTTCCATCTTTTCTCTCTCTCATTCATCTCCTTTTTTCATCTCTTCATGTAACCACCCTAATTGCACTGCAGCATTCATCTTTCACTTTTTTCCTCATTTTTTTTCTCTCATCTCCACTTTTTCTCATCTCCATCATGTAACCACCTAATTTGCACTGCAGCATTCATTCCCTTTTTCTCTCATCTCCATTTCTCATGTAACCACCTAATTTGCACTGCAGCATTCATCTTTTCTCATCACCATTTTTCTCTCATCTCCATTTCTCATCCTTAAACCACCTAATTGTCTGCAGCATTCATCTTTCCCTTTTCTCTCATCTCCATTTCTCATGTAACCACCTAATTTGCACTGCCGCTTTCTCTCATTCATTTTCTTCCACCCTCATTCCCATTCCTTTTCTCTCATCTCCATTTCTCATTAACCACCTATTGCACTGCAACATTCATCTTTCCACTTTTCTCTCATCTCCATTTCTCATATAACCACCTAATTGCACTGCAGCATTCATCTTTCCACTTTTTCTCTCATCTCCATTTCTCATGTAACCACCTAATTTACTGCATTCATTCTTTCACTTTTTCTCATCTCCATTTCTCATATAACCACCTAATTGCACTGCAGCATTCATCTTTCACTTTTCTCTCATCTCCATTTCTCATGTAACCACCTAATTGCACTGCAGCATTCATTTCACTTTTCTCTCATCTCCATTTCTCTTAACCACCATTGCTCCCCACTTATTCATCTTCCCTTTTCTCTCATCTCCCATTTCTCATTAACCACCTAATTGCACTGCATTCATTCCACTTTTCTCTCATCTCCATTTCTCATGTAACCACCTAATTGCACTGCAGCATTCATTTCCCTTTTCCTCTCTCATCTCCATTTCTCATGTAACCACCTAATTGCACTGCAGCATTCATCTTTCCACTTTTCTCTCATCTCCATTTCTCATGTAACCACCCTAATTTACTGCAGCATTTCATCTTTCCCTTTTCTCTCATCTCCCATTTCTCATGTAACCTCCATTCAACTTTTCTCTCATCTCCAGCATTCATCTTTCATTCATTTTCTCTCTCATCTCCATTTCTCATGTAACCACCTAATTGCACTGCAGCATTCATTCACTTTCTCTCTCATCTCCATTTCTCATATAACCACCTAATTGCACTGCAGCATTCCATTCCTTTTTTCTCTCATCTCCATTTCTCCTTAACCACCTAATTGCACTGCGGCATTCATCTTTTTCACTTTTTCTCTCATCTCCATTTCTCATATAACCACCTAATTTGCTCTACATTTTCACATTCATCTTTCTCTTTTTCTCTCATCTCCCTTTTCTCATGCTCCAACCACCCTAATTGCACTGCATTCATCTTTTCCCTTTTTCTCTCATCTCCATTTCTCATGTAACCACCCCTAATTGCACTACAGCATTCATCTTTCCCTTTTCTCTCATCTCCATTTCTCATGTAACCACCTAATTGCTCTGCAGCATTCATCTTTCCACTTTCTCTCTCATCTCCCATTTTCTCTGTAACCACCTAATTGCTCTGCAGCATTCATTCCACTTTTTCTCTCATCTCCATTTCTCATGTAACCACCTAATTTATCTGCAGCATTCATCTTTCCACTTTTCTCTCATCTCCATTTCTCATGTAACCACCTAATTTGCGCAGCATTCATTCCACTTTTCTCCTCATCTCCATTTCTCATGTAACCACCCTAATTGCACTGCGGCATTCATCTTTCCACTTTTCTCTCATCCTCCATTTCTCATGTAACCACCTAGTTGCTCTGCAGCATTCATCTTTCCACTTTTTCTCCATTCTCATTTGTGTAACCCACCTAGTGCTCTGGCATTCATTCCACTTTTCTCTCATCTCTCCATTTCTCATGTAACCACCTAATTGCTCTGCAGCATTCATCTTTCCACTTTTCTCTCATCTCCATTTCTCATGTAACCACCTAATTTGCACTGCAGCATTCATTCCTTTTCTCTTCTCCACATTCTTTCTCTGTTATACATTCATCTTTCTCTTTTTCTCTCATCTAATTTCTCTGTAACCACCTATTCATTCATTTCCACTTTTCTCTCATCTCCATTTTTCTCATGTAACCCTAATTTATCTGCAGCATTCATCTTTTCCACTTTTTCTCTCATCTCCATTTCTCATATAACCACCTAATTGCACTGCAGCATTCATCTTCCACTTTTTCTCTCATCTCCATTTTCTCATGTAACCACCTAATTGCACTGCAGCATTCATTCTTTTCTCTCATCTCCATTTCTCATGTAACCACCTAATTCTGCCATTTCTCACTTTTCTCTCATCTCCATTTCTCTAACCACCCAGCATTCATCATTCATTCCCTTTTTCTCTCATCTCCATTTCTCATGTAACCACCTAATTTCTCTCTGCAGCATTCATCTCTCATCTCCATTTCTCATCTCTCATTCATTCCCTTTTCTCTCATCTCCATTTCTCATGTAACCACCTAATTGCTGCAGCATTCATCTTTCCACTCTTTTCTCTCATCTCCATTTTCTCATGCCAACCACCTAATTTCTCATGCATTCATTCCCTTTTCTCTCATCTCCATTTCTCCATGTAACCACTAATTGCACTGCAGCATTCATCTTTCCACTTTTCTCTCATCTCCATTTCTCATGTAACCACCTAATTGCACTGCAGCATTCATCTTCCACTTTTTCTCTCATCTCCATTTCTCATGTAACCACCTAATTGCACTGCAGCATTCATCTTTCACTTTTTCTCATCTTTTCTCTCATCTCCATTTTCTCATGTAACCACCTATTCATCTCCATTTCTCTCCCTTTTCTCATCATTTAATTGTACTGCAGCATTCATTCCACTTTTTCTCTCATCTCATTTCTCATGTAACCACCCCTAATTGCTCTGCAGCATTCATCTTTCCACTTTTCTCTCATCTCCATTTCTCATTCTTAACCACCTAATTGCACTGCAGCATTCATTCCCTTTTCTTTCCATCTCCATTTCTTTAACCACCTCTCATCTCCACTTTTCTCATCTCCATTTTCTCACCTAATTGCACTGCAGCATTCATTCATCTTTCATTTCTTTTTCTCTCATCTCTCCATCTTTCTCATGTAACCACCTAATTGCTCTGCAGCATTCATCTTTCCACTTTTTCTCTCATCTCCATTTCTCATGTAACCACCTAATTGCACTGCAGCATTCATCTTTCCTTTTCTCTCATCTCCATTTCTCATGTAACCACCTAATTGCACTGCAGCATTCATTCCACTTTTCTCTCTCATCTCCATTTCTCATGTAACCACCTAATTGCTCTGCAGCATTCATCTTTCCACTTTTCTCTCATCTCCATTTCTCATGTAACCACCTAATTGCACTGCAGCATTCATCTTTCCACTTTTCTCTCATCTCATTTCTCATGTAACCACCTAATTTACTGCAGCATTCATCTTTCCCTTTTTTCTCTCATCTCCATTTCTCTGTAACCACCTAATTGCACTGCAGCATTCATCTTTTTCTCATCTCCATTTTTCTCTCATCTCACTTTTCTCTCTCTCCATTTCTCATGCCAACCACCTAATTGCACTGCAGCATTCATCTTTCACTTTTCTCTCATCTCCATTTCTCATTTCTCATAACCACCTCTGCATTTCATCTTTCCACTTTTCTCTCATCTCCATTTCTCATTAACCATCATTCATCTTCCACTTTTCTCTCATCTCCATTTCTAACCACCTAATTGCACTGCAGCATTCATCTTTCCTTTTCTCTCATCTCCATTTCTCATGTAACCCCTAATTGCAGCATTCAGCATTCATCTCTTCCCTTTTTCTCTCATCTCCATTTCTCATGTCCAACCACCTAATTGCACTGCAGCATTCATCTTTCCACTTTTCTCTCATCTCCATTTCTCATGTAACCCACCTAATTGCACTGCAGCATTCATCTTTTCCCTTTTCTCTCATCTCCATTTCTCATGTAACCACCCTAATTGCACTGCAGCATTCATCTTTCACTTTTCTCTCATCTCCATTTCTCATGTAACCACCTAATTGCTCTGCAGCATTCATCTTTCACTTTTCTCTCATCTCCATTTCTTAACCACCCTAATTGCTCTGCAGCATTCATCTTTCCCTTTTTCTCTCATCTCCATTTCTCATGTAACCACCTAATTTGCTCTGCAGCATTCATCTTTCCACTTTTTTCTCTCATCTCCATTTCTCATCCATTTAACCACCTAATTGCACTGCAGCATTCATCTTTCCACTTTTCTCTCTCATCTCCATTTTCTCCATGCCAACCACCTAATTGCACTGCAGCATTCATCTTTCCACTTTTCTCTCATCTCCATTTCTCATGTAACCACCTAATTTACTGCAGCATTCATCTTTCCACTTTTTCTCTCATCTCCATTCTCATGTAACCACCTAATTGCTCTGCAGCATTCATCTTTCCACTTTTCTCTCATCTCCATTTCTCGTAACCACCTAATTAACCACCTAATTGTAACCACCCTAACTGCAGCATTCATCTTTCCACTTTTCTCTCATCTCTCCATTTCTCATGTAACCACCTAATTGCACTGCAGCATTCATCTCTCATCTCATTTCTCATGTAACCACCTTTCTCATTCATCTTTCCACTTTTTCTCTCATCTCCATTTCTCATTAACCACCCTAATTGCACTGCAGCATTCATCTTTCCACTTTTTCTCTCATCTCCATTTCTCATGTAACCACCTAATTGCACTGCAGCATTCATCTTTCCACTTTTTCTCTCATCTCCATTTCTCATGTAACCACCCTAATTGCTCTGCAGCATTCATCTTTCCCTTTTTCTCTCATCTCCATTTCTCATGTAACCACACCTAATTGCTCTGCAGCATTCATCTTTCCCTTTTTTCTCTCATCTCCATTTCTTTTCTCATGCCATTCACCACCTCATCTCCATTTCTTGTAACCACCTCTACCTTTCATTCATCTCCACTTTTCTCTCATCTCCATTTCTCATGTAACCACCTAATTGCACTGCAGCATTCATTCCACTTTTTCTCTCATCTCCATTTCTCATGTAACCACCTAATTGCACTGCAGCATTCATCTTTCCACTTTTCTCTCATCTCCATTTCTCCATGTAACCACTAATTGTCTGCAGCATTCATCTTTCCCTTTTTCTCTCATCCATTTCTCATGTAACCACCTAATTGCTCTGCAGCATTCATCTTTCCACTTTTTCTCTCATCTCCATTTCTCATGTAACCACCTAATTGCACTGCAGCATTCATCTTTCCTTTTTTCTCTCATCTCCATTTCTCATGCTTTCCCACCTAATTGCTCTACAGCATTCATCTCCACTTTTTCTCTCATCTCCATTTCTCATGTAACCACCCTAATTGCACTGCAGCATTCATCTTTCCACTTTTTCTCTCATCTCCATTTCTCATGTAACCACCCTAATTGCACTGCAACATTCATCTTTCCCTTTTCTCTCATCTCCATTTTCTCATAATTTAACCATTCCCTAATTGCACTCCAGCATTCATCTTTCCACTTTTTCTCTCATCTCCATTTCTCATGTAACCACCTAATTGCTCTGCAGCATTCATCTTTCCCTTTTCTCTCATCTCCATTTCTCATGTAACCACCTAATTGCTCTGCAGCATTCATCTTTCCACTTTTTCTCTCATCTCCATTTCTCATGTAACCACCTAATTGCTGCTGCATTCATCTTTCCACTTTTCTCTCTCCATTTCTCATGTAACCACCTAATTGCACTCATTCATCTTTCACTTTTCTCTCATCTCCATTTCTCATGTAACCACCTAATTGCACTGCAGCATTCATCTTTCCACTTTTTTCTCTCATCTCCATTTCTCATGTAACCCACCTAATTGCACTGCAGCATTCATTCCACTTTTCTCTCATCTCCATTTCTCATGTAACCACCTAATTGCACTGCAGCATTCATCTTTCCACTTTTTCTCTCATCTCCATTTCTCATGTAACCACCTAATTGCACTGCAGCATTCATCTTTCCACTTTTCTCTCATCTCCATTTCTCATGTAACCACCTAATTGCACTGCAGCATTCATCTTTCCACTTTTCTCTCATCTCCATTTCTCATGTAACCACCTAATTGCACTGCAGCATTCATCTTTCACTTTTCTCTCATCTCCATTTTCTCATGTAACCACCTAATTGCTCTGCAGCATTCATCTTCCACTTTTCTCTCATCTCCATTTCTCATGTAACCACCTAATTGCACTGCAGCATTCATTCCACTTTTTCTCTCATCTCCATTTTCTCATGTAACCACCTAATTGCACTGCAGCATTCATCTTTCCACTTTTCTCTCATCTCCATTTCTCATGTAACCACCTAATTGCTGCAGCATTCATCTTTCCACTTTTCTCTCATCTCCATTTCTCATGTAACCACCTAATTGCACTGCAGCATTCATCTTTTCCACTTTTCTCTCATCTCCATTTCTCATGTAACCACCTAATTGCTCTGCAGCATTCATCTTTCCACTTTTTCTCTCATCTCCATTTCTCATGCTTAACCACCTAATTGCTCTGCAGCATTCATCTTTCCACTTTTCTCTCATCTCCATTTCTCATGTAACCACCTAATTGCACTGCAGCATTCATCTTTCCACTTTTCTCTCATCTCCATTTCTCATGTAACCACCTAATTGCACTGCAGCATTCATCTTTCCACTTTTCTCTCATCATTTCCATTTCTCATGCAACATTCACCTTTTCTTCATCTCCATTTCTCATGTAACCACCTAATTCTGCAGCATTCATCTTTGCTTTTTCTCTCATCTCCATTTCTCATGTAACCACCTAATTGCACTGCAGCATTCATTTCCACTTTTTCTCTCATCTCCATTTCTCATGTAACCACCTAATTGCTCTGCAGCATTCATCTTTCCACTTTTCTCTCATCTCCATTTCTCATGTAACTTTCCACTTTTCTCTCCTAATTGCTCTGCAGCATTCATCTTTCCACTTTTCTCTCATCTCCATTTCTCATGTAACCACCCTAATTGCTCTGCAGCATTCATCTTTCCACTTTTTCTCTCATCTCCATTTCTCATGTAACCACCTAATTGCACTGCAGCATTCATCTTTCCACTTTTCTCTCATCTCCATTTCTCATGTAACCACCTAATTGCACTGCAGCATTCATTTTCCCTTTTCTCTCATCTCCATTTCTCATGTAACCACCTAATTCTCATCATCTTTCCACTTTTCTCTCATCTCCATTTCTGTAACCACCTAATTGCACTGCAGCATTCATTCCCTTTTTCTCTCATCTCCATTTCTCATGTAACCACCTAATTGCTCTGCAGCATTCATTCATTTTTCCACTTTTCTCTCATCTCCATTTCTCATCTCCAACCAACCCTAATTGCTCTGCAGCATTCATTCCACTTTTCTCATCTCCATTTCTCATCAACCACCTAATTCCAGCATTCATCTTTCCACTTTTTCTCTCATCTCCATTTCTCATGTAACCACCTAATTGCACTGCAGCATTCATCTTTCCACTTTTTCTCTCATCTCCATTTCTCATGTAACCACCTAATTGCTCTGCAGCATTCATCTTTCCACTTTTTCTCTCATCTCCATTTCTCATGTAACCACCTAATTGCACTGCAGCATTCATCTTTCCACTTTTTCTCTCATCTCCATTTCTCATGTAACCACCCCAATTGCACTGCAGCATTCATTCCACTTTTTCTCTCATCTCCATTTTCTCATGTAACCACCTAATTGCACTGCAGCATTCATTCCACTTTTCTCTCATCTCCATTTCTCATGTAACCACCTAATTGCTCTGCAGCATTCATCTTTCCACTTTTTCTCTCATCTCCATTTCTCATGTAACCACCTAATTGCTCTGCAGCATTCATCTTTCCACTTTTTCTCTCATCTCCATTTCTCATGTAACCACCTAATTGCACTGCAGCATTCATTCCACTTTTTCTCTCATCTCCATTTCTCATGTAACCACCTAATTGCTCTGCAGCATTCATCTTTCCACTTTTTCTCTCATCTCCATTTCTCATGTAACCACCTAATTGCACTGCAGCATTCATCTTTCCACTTTTTCTCTCATCTCCATTTCTCATGTAACCACCTAATTGCACTGCAGCATTCATCTTTCCACTTTTTCTCTCATCTCCATTTCTCATGTAACCACCTAATTGCACTGCAGCATTCATTCCACTTTTTCTCTCATCTCCATTTCTCATGTAACCACCTAATTGCACTGCAGCATTCATCTTTCCACTTTTTCTCTCATCTCCATTTCTCATGTAACCACCTAATTGCACTGCAGCATTCATTCCACTTTTCTCTCATTCATTTTCTCATTAACCACCTTTTCTCATTCATCTCCTCATCTCCATTTCTCATGTAACCACCTAATTGCACTGCAGCATTCATCTTTCCACTTTTCTCTCATCTCCATTTCTCATGTAACCACCTAATTGCACTGCAGCATTCATCTTTCCACTTTTCTCTCATCTCCATTTCTCATGTAACCACCCTAATTTCATTCATCTTTTTTTTCTCTCATCTCCATTTCTCATGTAACCACCTAATTGCACTGCAGCATTCATCTTTCCACTTTTTCTCTCATCTCCATTTCTCATGTAACCACCTAATTGCACTGCAGCATTCATCTCCACTTTTCTCTCATCTCCATTTCTCATTAACCACCTAATTGCACTGCAGCATTCATTCCTTTTCTCTCATCTCCATTTCTCATGTAACCACCTAATTGCACTGCAGCATTCATCTTTTCCACTTTTCTCTCATCTCCATTTCTCATGTAACCACCTAATTGCACTGCAGCATTCATCTTTCCCTTTTCTCTCATCTCCATTTCTCATGTAACCACCTAATTGCACTGCAGCATTCATCTTTCCACTTTTCTCTCATCTCCATTTCTCATGTAACCACCTAATTGCACTGCAGCATTCATCTTTCCACTTTTTCTCTCATCTCCATTTCTCATGTAACCACCTAATTGCACTGCAGCATTCATCTTTCCACTTTTTCTCTCATCTCCATTTCTCATGTAACCACCTAATTGCACTGCAGCATTCATCTTCCACTTTTTTTCTCTCATCTCCATTTCTCATGTAACCACCTAATTGCACTGCAGCATTCATCTTTCCACTTTTTTCTCTCATCTCCATTTCTCATGTAACCACCCTAATTGCTGCATTCATTCATCTTTCCCTTTTTCTCTCATCTCCATTTCTCATGTAACCACCTAATTGCACTGCAGCATTCATCTTTCCACTTTTTCTCTCATCTCCATTAACTCACCTAATTTAACCACCTAATTGCACTTTGCTCTCATTCATCTTTCCACCTTTTGCAGCATTCATCTTTCCTTTTCTCATCTCCATTTCTCATGTAACCACCTAATTGCACTGCAGCATTCATCTTTCCACTTTTTCTCTCATCTCCATTTCTCATGTAACCACCCTAATTGCACTGCAGCATTCATTCCACTTTTCTCTCATCTCCATTTCTCATGTAACCACCTAATTGCACTGCAGCATTCATCTTTCCCTTTTTTCTCTCATCTCCATTTCTCATGTAACCACCTAATGCACTGCATTCATTCCACTTTTCTCTCATCTCCATTTCTCATGTAACCACCTAATTGCACTGCAGCATTCATCTTTCCTTTTCTCTCATCTCCATTTCTCATGTAACCACCTAATTGCTCTGCAGCATTCATCTTTCCACTTTTTCTCTCATCTCCATTTCTCATGTAACCACCTAATTGCACTGCAGCATTCATCTTTCCACTTTTTTCTCTCATCTCCATTTCTCATGTAACCACCTGCATTCATTGCACTTTTCTCTCATCTCCATTTCTCTGCAGCATTTTCATCTTTCCACTTTTTCTTTTCTCTCATCTCCATTTCTCATGTAACCACCTAATTGCACTGCAGCATTCATCTTTCCACTTTTCTCTCATCTCCATTTCTCATGTAACCACCTAATTGCACTGCAGCAGCATTCCCTTTTCTCTCATCTCCATTTTGTAACCACCTAATTGCACTGCAGCATTCATCTTTCCACTTTTTCTCTCATCTCCATTTCTCATGCTAACCACCTAATTGCACTGCAGCATTCATCTTTCCACTTTTCTCTCATCTCCATTTCTCATGTAACCACCTAATTACTGCAGCATTCATCTTTCCACTTTTTCTCTCATCTCCATTTCTCATGTAACCACCTAATTGCACTGCAGCATTCATCTTTCCTTTTTTCTCATCTTTTCTCTCATCTAACCACCTAAATTTTCATTCATCTTTCCTTTTCTCTCATCTAATTGCTCATGTAACCACCATTCACTGCAGCATTCATTCCCTTTTCTCTCATCTCCATTTCTCATGTAACCACCTAATTGCACTGCAGCATTCATCTTTCCACTTTTTCTCTCATCTCCATTTCTCATGTAACCACCTAATTGCACTGCAGCATTCATCTTTCCACTTTTTCTCTCATCTCCATTTCTCATGTAACCACCTAATTGCATTTCTGCAGCATTCATTCCACTTTTCTCTCATCTCCCATTTCTCATGTAACCACCTAATTGCTCTGCAGCATTCATCTTTGCTTTTTCAGCATTCATTTCTTTCCACCTTTTTTCTGCATCTCCATTTCTCATCTCAACCATTCCATGTAACCATTGCACTGCAGCATTCATTCCACTTTTTTTTTTCTCTCTCCATTTCTCATGTAACCACCTAATTGCTCTGCAGCATTCATCTTTCTTTTTCCACTTTTTCTCTCATCATTTCCATTTCTCTCATCTAACCACCCTAATTGCACTGCAGCATTCATCTTTCCACTTTTCTCTCATTCCATTTCTTTCCACCCAATTGCACTGCAGCATTTTCTTTTCTCATCTCCATTTCTCATGTAACCACCTAATTGCACTGCAGCATTCATCTTTCCACTTTTTCTCTCATCTCCATTTCTCATGTAACCACCTAATTGCACTGCAGCATTCATCTTTCCACTTTTTCTCTCATCTCCATTTCTCATGTAACCACCTAATTGCACTGCAGCATTCATCTTTCCACTTTTTCTCTCATCTCCATTTCTCATGTAACCACCTAAATTGCAGCATTCATCTTTCCACTTTTCTCTCATCTCCATTTCTCATTCACCTAATTGCACTGCAGCATTCATTCCACTTTTTCTCTCATCTCCATTTCTCATGTAACCACCTAATTGCACTGCAGCATTCATCTTTCCACTTTTTCTCTCATCTCCATTTCTCATGTAACCACCTAATTGCTCTGCAGCATTCATCTTTCCACTTTTTCTCTCATCTCCATTTCTCATGTAACCACCTAATTCCACTTTTCTCTCATCTCATTTCTCTTTCCACCTTTTCATTCTCATCTCCTTTTCTTTCTCATGTAACCACCTAATTGCACTGCAGCATTCATCTTTCCACTTTTCTCTCATCTCCATTTCTCATGTAACCACCTAATTGCACTGCAGCATTCATCTTTCCACTTTTCTCTCATCTCCATTCTCTGTAACCACCTAATTGCACTGCAGCATTCATCTTTCCACTTTTTTCTCTCATCTCCATTTCTCATGTAACCACCTAATTGCACTGCAGCATTCATCTTTCCACTTTTCTCTCATCTCCATTTCTCATGTAACCACCTAATTGCACTGCAGCATTCATTCCACTTTTTCTCTCATCTCCATTTCTCATGTAACCACCTAATTGCTCTGCAGCATTCATCTTTCCACTTTTCTCTCATCTCCATTTCTCATGTAACCACCTAATTGCTCTGCAGCATTCATCTTTCCACTTTTCTCTCATCTCCATTTCTCATGTAACCACCTAATTGCACTGCAGCATTCATTCCCTTTTTCTCTCATCTCCATTTCTCCATGTAACCACCTAATTGCTCTTTTTTCATCTTTCCACTTTTCTCTCATCTCCATTTCTCATGTAACCACCTAATTGCACTGCAGCATTCATCTTTCACTTTTTCTCTCATTTCCATTTTTCTTTAATTCATTCATCTTTTCCAATTTTTCTCTCATCTCCATTTCTCATTACCCCCACAGCATTCATCTTTCCACTTTTCTCTCATCTCCATTTCTCATGTAACCACCTAATTGCACTGCAGCATTCATCTTTCCACTTTTTCTCTCATCTCCATTTCTCATGTAACCACCTAATTGCACTGCAGCATTCATTCCACTTTTCTCTCATCTCCATTTCTCATGTAACCACCTAATTATTCTGCAGCATTCATTCATCTCATTTTCCACCTTTTCATCTTTCACTTTTTCTCATCTCCATTTCTCATGTAACCACCTAATTGCACTGCAGCATTCATCTTTCCACTTTTTCTCTCATCTCCATTTCTCATGTAACCACCTAATTGCACTGCAGCATTCATCTTCCCTTTTCTCTCATCTCCATTTCTCATGTAACTTCCCCTAATTGCACTGCAGCATTCATCTTTCCTTTTTTCTCTCATCTCCATTTCTCTTAACCACCTAATTGCACTGCAGCATTCATCTTTCCCTTTTTCTCTCATCTCCATTTCTCATGTAACCACCTAATTGCACTGCAGCATTCATCTTTCCACTTTTTCTCTTTCTCCATTTCTCATTAACCACCTAATTTCTGCAGCATTCATCTTTCCACTTTTTCTCTCATCTCCATTTCTCATGTAACCACCCTAATTGCTCTGCAGCATTCATCTTTCCACTTTTCTCTCATCTCCATTTCTCATGTAACCACCTAATTGCTCTGCAGCATTCATCTTCCAATTTTTCTCTCATCTCCATTTCTCATGTAACCACCTAATTGCACTGCAGCATTCATCTTTCCACTTTTCTCTCATCTCCATTTCTCATGTAACCACCTAATTGCACTGCAGCATTCATTCCTTTTTCTCTCATCTCCATTTCTCATGTAACCACCTAATTGCACTGCAGCATTCATCTTTCCACTTTTTCTCTCATCTCCATTTCTCATGTAACCACCTAATTGCACTGCAGCATTCATCTTTCCACTTTTTCTCATCTCCATTTCTCATGTAACCACCTAATTGCACTGCAGCATTCATCTTTCCACTTTTTTCTCTCATCTCCATTTCTCATGTAACCACCTAATTGCCACCATTCATCTTTCCACTTTTCTCTCATCTCCATTTCATAACCACCTAATTCCAGCATTCATTTTCTCTCATCTCATCTCCATTTCTCATGTAACCACCTAATTGCACTGCAGCATTCATTCTTTTCTCTTTTCTCTCATCTCCTCATGTAACCTCCATTTCTCAGCATTCATCTTTCCACTTTTTCTCTCATCTCCATTTCTCAGCAACCACCCTTCCACTACATCATTCATCTCTCCACTTTTCTCCATCTCCATTTCTCATGTAACCACCTAATTGCTCTGCAGCATTCATCTTTCCACTTTTTCTCTCATCTCCATTTCTCATGTAACCACCTAATTGCACTGCAGCATTCATCTTTCCACTTTTTCTCTCATCTCCATTTCTCATGCTGTAACCACCTAATGCTCTCTGCATTCATCTTTCCACTTTTCTCTCATCTCCATTTCTCATGTAACCACCCCTAATTGCTCTGCAGCATTCATCTTTCACTTTTTCTCTCATCTCCATTTCTCATGTAACCACCTAATTGCTCATTCATCTTTCCCTTTTCTCTCATCTCCATTTTTAACCACCTAATTTTCTCTCATTTCCATTTCTCATGTAACCACCTAATTGCACTGCAGCATTCATCTTTCACTTTTTCTCTCATCTCCATTTCTCATGTAACCACCTAATTCTCACTCCATTTCTCATTCTCATTTTCTCTCATCTCCATTTTCTCATTAACCACCTAATTTGCTCTGGCATTCATCTTTCCACTTTTCTCTCACATCTCCATTTCTCATGTAACCACCTAATTGCACTGCATTCATCTTCCACTTTTCTCTCATCTCCATTTCTCATGTAACCACCTAATTGCTCTGCAGCATTCATTTCCACTTTTTCTCTCATCTCCATTTCTCATGTAACCACCTAATTGCACTGCAGCATTCATCTCCACTTTTCTCTCATCTCCATTTCTAACCACCTAATTGCTCTGCAGCATTCATCTTTCCACTTTTCTCTCATCTCCATTTCTCATGTAACCACCTAATTGCACTGCAGCATTCATCTTTTCCACTTTTCTCTCATCTCCATTTCTCATGTAACCACCTAATTGCACTGCAGCATTCATCTTTCCACTTTTTTCTCATTCTCCATTTCTCATGTAACCACCTAATTGCTCTTCAGCATTCATCTTTCCCTTTTTCTCTCATCTCCATTTCTCATGTAACCACCTAATTGCATCATTCTCTTTCCTCTTTTCTCTCATCTCCATTTCTCATGTAACCACCTAATTGCACTCTTTCATCTTTTCCTTTTTCTCTCATCTCCATTTCTCATGTAACCACCTAATTGCACTGCAGCATTCATCTTTCCACTTTTCTCTCATCTCCATTTCTCATTTCTTTTCTTTAACCTAATTCATCTTTCTTTTTCTCTCATCATTTCTCATACAACCACCTAATTGCACTGCAGCATTCATCTCTCACTTTTCTCTCCATTTCTCATGTAACCACCTAATTGCACTGCAGCATTCATCTTTCCACTTTTTCTCTCTCCATCTCCATTTCTCATATTAACCACCTAATTGCACTGCAGCATTCATTCCACTTTTTCTCTCATCTCCATTTCTCATGTAACCACCTAATTGCTCTGCAGCATTCATCTTTCCACTTTTTCTCTCATCTCCATTTCTCATGTAACCACCTAATTGCACTGCAGCATTCATCTTTCCACTTTTTCTCTCATCTCCATTTCTCATGTAACCACCTAATTGCACTGCATTCATCTTTCTTTTTCTCTCATCTCCACATTTCTTAACCACCTAATTGCTCTCATTCATCCTTTTCTCATGTAACCAACCACCTAATTGCACTGCAGCATTCATTTTCCACTTTTCTCTCATCTCCATTTCTCATGTAACCACCTAATTGCTCTGCATTCATCTTTCACTTTTCTCTTCTCCATTTCTTTTTTCTCATTCATCTCCACTTTTCTCATCCATTTCCACCTAATTTGCTCTGCATTCATCTTTCACTTTTCTCTCATCTCCATTTCTCATTTTCTAATTGCTCTACAGCATTCATTTCCTTTTCTCTCATCTCCATTTCTCTAACCACCTAATTGCACCACCATTCATCTTTCCACTTTTCTCTCATCTCCATTTCTCATAACCACCCCTTTGCCATTCATCTTTCCACTTTTCTCTCATCTCCATTTCTCATGTAACCACCTAATTTCTACTTTTTCATCTTTCCACTTTTCTCTCATCTCCATTTCATTCACCCATTCATCTTTCCACTTTTCTCTCATCTCCATTTCTCATGTAACCACCTAATTCTCAGCATTCATCTTTCCACTTTTTCTCTCATCTCCATTTCTCATAACCACCTAATTGCACTGCAGCATTCATTCCACTTTTCTCTCATCTCCATTTCTCATGTAACCACCTAATTGCACTGCAGCATTCATCTTTCCACTTTTCTCTCATCTCCATTTCTCATGTAACCACCTAATTTGCATTCATCTTTCCAGCATTCATCTTTAACCACCTTTTTCTCTCACTTTTTCTCTCTCTCCATTTCTCATGTAACCACCCTAATTGCACTGCAGCATTCATTCTTTTCTTTTCTCTCATCTCCATTTCTCATGTAACCACCTAATTGCTCTGCAGCATTCATCTTTCCACTTTTTCTCTCATCTCCATTTCTCATGTAACCACCTAATTTCTCTGCAGCATTCATTTCCTTTTTTTCTCATCTCCATTTCTCATGTAACCACCTAATTGCACTGCTTTTCATTCATTCCACTTTTCTCTCTCATCTCCATTTCTCATGTAACCACTAATTGCTCTGCAGCATTCATCTTTCACTTTTTCTCTCATTTTCTCCTTTTCTTAATTGCTACTGCAGCATTCATCTTTCCACTTTTTCTCTCATCTCCATTTCTCATTTAACCACCTAATTGCACTGCAGCATTCATCTTTCCACTTTTTCTCTCATCTCCATTTCTCATGTTAACCACCTAATTGCTCTTTTCATTCATCTTTCCACTTTTTTCTCATCTCCATTTCTCTCTCTAACCACCTATTTGCAGCATTCATTTCCACTTTTCTCTCATCTCCATTTCTCATGTAACCACCTAATTGCTCTGCAGCATTCATCTTTCCACTTTTCTCTCATCTCCATTTCTCATGTAACCACCTAATTGCACTGCATCTTTCATCTTCCTTTTTTCTCTCATCTCCATTTCATGTAACCACCTAAATTGCTTTCTGCAGCATTCATTTCACTTTTTCTCTCATCTCCATTTTCTCATGTAACCACCTAATTGCTCTGCAGCATTCATCTTTCCACTTTTCTCTCATCTCCATTTCTCATGTAACCACCTAATTGCTCTGCATTCATCTTTCACTTTTCTCTTCTCCATTTTTTCTCTCATCTCATTCCTTTTTCTCATCTCCAAATAACCACCTAATTGCACTGCAGCATTCATCTTTCCTTTTTTCTCTCATCTCCATTTCTCATGTAACCACCTAATTGCACTGCAGCATTCATCTTTCCACTTTTTCTCATCTCCATTTCTTTCCACCTTTCATTCATTTCCACTTTTCTTCATCTCTTTCTCTCCAATTGCACTGCAGCATTCATCTTTCCACTTTTTCTCATCTCCATTTCTCATGTAACCACCTAATTGCTGCAGCATTCTGTTCACTTTCTCTCATCTCCATTCTCATACAACCCACCCTAAGTGCTCTACAGCATTCATCTTTTTTTCTCTCATCTCCATTTCTCATGTAACCACCTAATTGCACTGCAGCATTCTTTCTTTTTCTCTCATCTCATTTCTCATTTGCACTGCAGCATTCATCTTTTCCACTTTTTCTCTCATCTCCATTTCTCACTGTAAAACCTAAGTGCTCTGCAGCATTCATCTTTCCCTTTTTCTCTCATCTCCATTTCTCTTTTAACCACCTAATTAACCAGCATTCATCTTTCCCTTTTCTCTCATCTCCATTTCTCTCTAATTGCACTGCAGCATTCATCTTTCCACTTTTCTCTCATCTCCATTTCTCATGTAACCACCCTAATTGCACTGCAGCATTCATCTTTCCACTTTTTCTCTCTCCATTTCTCATGTAACCACCTAATTGCCTGCATTCATCTCATTTCTTTTTTCTCACCTAATTTCTCATCATCTTTAACTTTCTCTCATCTCTTCATTTCTCATTCATCTTTCTCACTTTTTCTCCTCCATTTCTTTTCATAACCACTATTGCTCTGCATTCATCTTTCCACTTTTTCTCTCATCTCCATTTTTTCCATGTAACCACCAATTGCACTGCAGCATTCATCTTTCCATCTCCATTTCTTTTTAATTCTCTCATTCTCCATTTCTCATGTAAATAACCACCTAATTGCATTCATGCACTTTTCTCTCATTCATTCCACCTAATTTTCCTCATCTTTCCACTTTTCTTTCTCATTTGTAAACCACCTAATTGCACTGCAGCATTCATCTTTCCACTTTTTCTCTCATCTCCATTCTCATGTAACCACCTAATTGCACTCCATCTTTTCCATCTCATCCATTTTCCACCACCTAATTTTTCATCACACCACTTTTCATCTCCATTTCTCATGTAACCACCCAATGCACTCCAGCATTCATTCCACTTTTCTCTCATCTCCATTTCTCATCATGCATTCATCTTTAATCTCCACCTAATTGCACTGCAGCATTCATCTTTCCACTTTTTCTCTCATCTCCCATTTTCTCCATGTAACCACCCAATTGCACTGCAGCATTCATCTTTCCACTTTTTCTCTCATCTCCATTTCTCATGTAACCACCTAATTGCACTGCAACATTCATTCATTTTCATCTCTTCTTCTCTCTTCTCCATTCATCTCATCTCCTTATTTCTCATTCCTCTTCTCTTTTCTTTCCCACTTTTCATCATCTCCATTTCTTTCTCTTTTCTCTTTCATCTTTCACTTTTTCTCTCATCTCCATTTCTCATGTCTTCTTCTCTCTAATTGCTCTCCATTTCTCATTCATCTTTCCACTTTTCTCTTTTCCTTTTCTCATCATCAGTCTTCTTCCTAATCTCTCCATTCAGCATTCTTATTCCCTTTTTTCTCTTTTCTTTCCTTTTCATCATCAGTCTTCTTCTCTCTTCTCTCTCCATTCTCATTTCCTTATTTTGCTTTTAGCATTTTTCTCTTTTCTTTTCTTTTCATATACATCATCAGTCTTCTTCTCTCTTTCTCTCTCTTTCTCATTCCTTCATACTTTTTTCTTTTCTTTTCATATGCATCATTCAGTCTTCTTCTCTTTTCTTATTTCTCATTTCCTTATTTGCCCTTTTCTCTTTTCTTTTCTTTTCTTCATTCAGTCTTCTTTCTCTCTCTCTCCATTCTCATTTTCCTTATTTGCCACTTTTTCTCTTTTCTTTTCTTTTTTCATCATCAGTCTTCTTCTCTCTTTCTCTCCACCTCATTCCTTATTTGCCCTTTTTCTCTTTTCTTTTTCTTTTTCATCTCCATCATCAGTCTTCTTCTCTCTTTCTCTCTCCATTCTCATTTCCTTATTTTACCACTTTCTCTTTCTCTTTTTCTTTTCTTATACATCCTCTAATCTTCTTCTCTCTTTCTCTCTCATCATTCATTCCTTATTTTTTTCTCTTTTCTTTTTTTTTTGCATCATCAATCTTCTCTCTCTTTATCTCTCCATTCTCATTTCCTTATTTGCCCACTTTTTTCTCTTTTCTTTTCTTTTTCACCTCATCATCAGTCTTCTTCTCTCTTTTCTCTCTCCATTTCTCATTCCTTATTTTGCCACTTTTCTTTTTCTTTTCATATACATCATCAGTCTTCTTCTCTCTTCTCTCATTTCTCATTAACCACCTTATTTTGCCCTTTTCTCTTTTCTTTTCTTTTCATATACATCATCCATCTTCTTCTCTCTTTTCTCTCTTCACATTTCTCCCTTATTGCCACTTTTTTCTCTTTTTCTTTTCTTTTCATATACATCATCAGTCTTCTTCTCTTTCTCTCCATTCTCATTCTGTTGCCACTTTTTCTCTTTCTTTTTCTTTTCATACATCATCAGTCTTCTTCTCTCTTTCTCTCCATTCTCATTCCTTATTTGCCACTTTTTCTTTTTTTTCTTTTCATCATCAGTCTTCTCTTCTCTCTATCTCTCATTCTCATTTCCCACTTTTCTCTTCTCTTTTATTTTCCTTATACATCATCAGTCTTCTTCTTTCTGTCTCTCCATTCTCATCATTTGCCGCTTTTCTCTTTTTCTTTTTCTTTTTCTCTACATCATTCATCTTTTCTTTCTCTCCATTCTCATTCTTTTTCCCTTTTCTCTTTTCTTTTTTCTTTCTTTTCATCATCAGTCTTCCTCTCTTTCTTTCTCTTCATTCTCATTCCTTATTTGCCATTTTTTTCTTTTTTTCTCTTTTTCTTTTCTTCTCACATTCTCATTCATCCAGTCTTTTTCTCTTTTCTTTCTTTTTTATCATTCAGTCTTCTTATCTCTCCATTTTTCTCTTATTTTCTTTTCTTTTCTTTCCACATCATCAGTCTTCTTTCTCTTTCTCTCTCCATTCTCATTTCCTTATTTTTGCCACTTTTCTCTTTTTTTTCTTTTCTATACATCCAGTCTTCTTCTCTTTCTCTCTCTCCCATTTCATTTCCTTATTTGCCACTTTTTCTCTTTTCTTTTCTTTTCATATACATCATCAGTCTTCTTCTCTATCTCTCTCATTTCTCATTTCTTATTTTGCCACTTTTCTCTTTCTTTTTCTTTTCCTTTTCACATCATCAGTCTTCTTCTCTCTTTCTCTCTCATTTCTCATTCCTTATTTGCCCTTTTTCTCTTTTTCTTTTTTTTTCATATACTTCTTCTCTATCTCTCTCATTCTCATTCTTATTTCCTTTTCTCTTTTTCCTTTTCATACATCATCTTCTTCTTTTCTTTCTCTCTCCATTCTCATTCATATACCTTACTTTCTCTTTTCTTTTCTTTCTTATACATCATCAATCTTCTTCTCTCATCTCTCTCCATTCTATTTGCCACTTTTCTCTTTTTCTTTTCTTTTCTTATACATCATCAATCTTCTTCTCTCTTTCTCTCTCATTCTCATTTCCTTATTTGCCCACTTTTTCTCTTTTTTTTTCTTTTCATATACATCATCAGTCTTCTTTCTCTTTCTCTCTCCATTCTCATTCCTTATTTGCCCTTTTTTTTCTTTTTCTTTTCTTTTCATATACATCATCAGTCTTCTTCTCTCTTTCTCTCCATTCTCTTTCCTTGTTTGCCACTTTTTCTCTTTTTCTTTTCTTTCATATACATCATTCAGTCTTCTCTTTTTCTCTCATTCTCATTTTCCTTTTGCCACTTTTCTCTTTTTTCTTTTCTTTTCATATACATCATCAGTCTTTTCTCTCTTTCTCTCTCCATTCTCATTTCCTTTATTTGCCACTTTTCTCTTTTCTTTTCTTTTCATATACATCATCAGTCTTCTTCTCTCTTTCTCTCTCCCATTCTCATTCCTTATTTGCTTACTTTTTCTCTTTTTCTTTCTTTTCATATACATCATCAGTCTTCTTCTCTCTCCATCTTTTCTCTCTCCATTCTCATTTCCTTATTTTGCCCTTTTCTCTTTTCTTTTCTTATACATCATCAGTCTTCTTCTCTCTTTCTCTCTCCATTCTCATTTTTTATTTGCCTTTTTCTCTTTTTCTTTTCTTTTCATATACATCATCAGTCTTCTTCTCTCTTCTCTCCATTCTCATTTCCCTTGTGCCTTTTTTTCTCTTTTCTTTTTTTTTTACCATCATCAGTCTTCTTCTTTTCTCTTCCCATTTCTCTTTATTTACCGCTTTTCTCTTTTCTTTTCTTTTCATATACATCATGGGGTCTTCTTCTCTCTCTCTCCATTCTCATTCCTTATTTGCCACTTTTCTCTTTTCTTTTCTTTTTCATATACATCATCAGTCTTCTTCTCTTTCTCTCTCCATTCTCATTCCTTATTTGCCACTTTTTCTTTTTCTTTTTCTTTTCATATACATCATCAGTCTTCTTCTCTCTTTTCTCTCTCCCATTCTCATTCCTTATTTGCCCTTTTCTCTTTTCTTTTCTTTTCATATACATCATCAGTCTTCTTCTCTCTTTTTCTCTCCATTCTCATTCCTTATTTGCCCACTTTTCTCTTTTTCTTTTCTTTTCATATACATCATCAGTCTTCTTCTCTTTCTCTCTCCATTCTCATTCCTTATTTCCTTTTCTCTTTTTTTTTTTCTTTTCCTTATACATCATCAGTCTTCTTCTTTCTTTCTCTCTCCATTTCATTCCTTATTTGCCACTTTTTCTCTTTTCTTTTCTTTTCATATACATCATCAGTCTTCTTCTCTCTTCTCTCCATTCTCATTTCCTTATTTGCCACTTTTCTCTTTTTCTTTTCTTTTCATATACATCATCGGTCTTCTTCTCTCTTTCTCTTCATTCTCATTTCTTATTGCCCACTTTTCTCTTTCTTTTCTTTTCATATACATCATCAGTCTTCTTCTTTCTCTCTCCCATTCTCATTCCTTGGCCACCACTTTTCTTTTTTCTTTTCTTTTCATATACATCATCAGTCTTCTTCTCTCTTTCTCTCCATTCTCATTCCTTATTTGCCACTTTTTTCTTTTTTCTTTTCTTTTCATATACATCATCAGTCTTCTTCTCTTTTCTCTCTCATTTCTCATTTCCTTATTTTGCCACTTTTTTCTCTTTTCTTTCTTTTCATATACATCATCAGTCTTCTTCTCTCTTTCTCTCCATTCTCATTTCCTTATTTGCCACTTTTTTCTTTTCTTTTCTTTTTTATACATCATCAGTCTTCTTCTCTCTTTCTCTCTCCATTCTCATTCCTTATTTGCCACTTTTTTTTCTTTTTTTTTCTTTTCTCATTTCTATCATCTCACTTCTTCTTTTCTATCTCTCTCATTTCTCATTTCTTCTTTCTCCCTTTTCTTTTTCTTTTCTTTTCATATACATCATCAGTCTTCTTCTCTCTTTCTCTCTCCCATTCTCATTCCTTATTTGCCACTTTTCTCTTTTTTTTTCTTTTCATACATCATCAGTCTTCTTCTCTCTTTCTCTCTCCATTCTCATTTCCTTATTTGCCATTTTTTCTCTTTTTCTTTTTCTTTTCATATTCATCATCAGTCTTCTTCTCTCTTTTCTCTTTCATTCTCATTTCCCTTATTTTCTCATTCTTTTTCTCTTTTCTTTTCTTTTCCTTACATCATCAGTCTTCTTCTCTCTTTCTCTCTCCATTCTCATTCCCTTATTTGCCACCCACTTTCTTTTTTCTTTTCATATACATCATCAGTCTTCTTCTCTCTTTCTCTCCATTCTCATTTCCTTATTTGCCCTTTTTCTCTTTTTCTTTTCTTTTCATATACATCATCAGTCTTCTTCTCTCTTTCTCTCTCCATTCTCATTCTTATTTTGCCACTTTTTCTCTTTTCTTTTCTTTTCATATACATCATCAGTCTTCTTCTCTCTTCTCATTCTCCATTTCTCATTTGCCCTTTTTATTTTTCTTTTTTTTTCATATTTTTCTTTTTCTATCTCATCATTCTTCTTATTTCTTTTTCTTTTTTTTCTTTTCCTTTCTCATTTCCTTCTTTTGCCTCTCTTTTTCTCTTTTCTTTTCTTTCATTTACACTTTTTCATATCATCATTTCTTTTCTATCTCTCCATTCTCATTCCTTATTTGCCTCTTTTTTTCTTTTTCTTTTCTTTTCTTTATACATCATCAGTCTTCTTCTCTTTCTCTCTTCATTCTCATTTCCTTATTTTTTTTCTCTTTTTTTTTTCTTTTCATATACATCATCAGTCTTCTTCTCTTTCTCTCCATTCTCATTTTTCTTTTCTCTTTTTCTTTTTTTCACTTACATTCGGTCTTCTCTCTCTTTCTCCATTCTCATTCTTATTTTTCTTTTTTCTTTTCTTTTCCTTATACATCATCAGTCTTCTTCTCTTTCTCTCATTTTTCCACCTTATTTGCCCTTTTTCTCTTTTTTCTTTTTATACATCATCAGTCTTCTTTCTCTTTTCTCTCCATTCTCATTCCTTATTTTCTTTTTCTCTTTTTCTTTTTCATATACATCATCAGTCTTCTTCTTTCTCTCCATTCTCATTCCTTGTTTGCCACTTTTCTCTTTTCTTTTTTTTTTCATATACATCATCAGTCTTCTTCTCTTTTCTCTCTCCATTCTCATTCCTTATTTGCCACTTTTTTCTTTTTCTTTTCTTTTCATATACATCATCATCTTCTTCTCTCTTTCTCTCTCCATTCTCATTCCTTATTTGCCAATTTTTCTCTTTTTCTTTTCTTTTCAGGCCATCATCAGTCTTCTTCTCTCTCTCTCTCTCCATTCTCATTCCTTTTCTTTTATCTTTTTCTTTTTCCATATACATTCAGTCTTCTTCTTCTTTCTCTTCATTCACCTTTTTTCTTTTTTCTTTTCTTTTCATATACATCATCAGTCTTCTTTCTTCTTTTCTCTCCATTCTCATTCCTTATTTGCCACTTTTTTCTCTTTTTCTTTTCTTTTTTCATATACATCATCAGT